GGACTACCCAACCGATCATAAGTCAAGGACTACCCGACCGGTCGTAAGTCAAGGACTTTCCCTGCCTGGGAGGGCCGCACATGCATGGTGCCGCCCCCTGCGCCAGCCGAGGCCTAGCTGGCAAGGGGCAGCGACGGCGTAGGGCGACCACTGGCTGGGCCACCAGCTAGCCCAGCCGAGGCAGGTAAGGCACCCGCCGGGCCCCACGTGCGCCAGCCACCCTCCCTGCACTCGCCACTGCCCCGCTAGCCTTACCTTGGCCACCGCCCATTCGGGGCAGCGACAGGAAGGCCCAGGCACTCCTGGGCGGCCACGGCAAGCAGCAGCGATGGCGCAGGGCGACCACTGCTGGGCCACCAGCTAGCCCAGCCCAGGCAGGTAAGGCACCCGCCGGGCCCCACGCGTGCCAGAAACCCTCCCTGTGCCCACCGCTGCCCCGCTAGTCTTACCTTGGCCACCGCCCGTTTGGGGCGGCGACAGGCAGGCCCAGGCGCTCCTGGGCGGCCACGGCAAGCAGCAGCGATGGCGCAGGGCGACCACCGGCTGGGCCACCAGCTGGCCCAGCCCAGGCATGTAAGGCACCCGCTGGGCCCCACGCGCACCAGCAACCCTCCCTGCACTTGCCGGCCTCCCACCTCCCACCCCTGGCCCTCTTTTACTTACTTTTAGTAGTTGCTCAGCAGGGAGGGAAGCTTTCCTTGCAGCACCGTTTGCAGACTGGAGCTTTTGGCGGGCTCAGCAGGGCAGAGACAGCCTGGACAATTCCTATTGGCTTTTGAAAGCCAATAGAATTAGACTCTATTCAAGAGAGTCTATTCTATTGGCTTTCGAATGCCAATGGAATAGAGTCTCTTGAATAGAGTCTATTCTGTTGGCTTTCAAAAGCCAATAGAATAAGAGGGAGTAGCACAGCTAAAGAAAAGGGGAAAAAATGGCAGACAGCCTTGTTTGGCGACCCCTGTGAAATGGTCGTTCGATCCCAAATGGGGTCGCGACCCACAGATTGAGAACCGCTGGTCTGGATGATTGCCAGGTTCTTGAAAAATTGATATTCTTTCAACAATGCATCATAGAATCAGTCTGGTGTAGTGGTTAAGTCATCAAGCTAGAAACATGAAGACTGTGATTTCCAGTCCCACCTTAGACACAAAACCAGCTGGGTGACTTTGGACCAGCCACTTTTTCTCTGCTGTAGGAAGCAAACAATGGCAAACCACTTCTGAAAATGATGCCAAGAAAATTTCAAGGACTAATCTAGGCAGTCATCAGGAGTCAACATACACACCCATACCCATATATGCATGCGAGCGTACACACACACACACACACACACACACACACACACACACACACACCAGGTATCATATCGGTGCAGTTCATACTTGTACTTCCACATATTTAATAGCTGCATTTGCTTGACTGACCCATATGTACAAACCCTGCATATTTTTTGTATATGTAAACATATATGGAACATTTAAAAACTCAAATAAATTATTTGCCAAGTTATATTACTATCAAATGATTTTCAAATTACATAATACTTTATGCAGAAGTGTTTCCCTTTCTAAAAATGTTATTATAGATTCATTCAGACATTTTAATATTTATCTTGAATAATCCAGATTTCAGCACAATGTGTGCTTTTTGTACATTGATTTTGCTGCTTCTAATTTTTTAAATTATATCCAAATGAATCTTATCTCTGAGCCTGTTTCTATTATTTTGCTCATCTATTTAATGGAACTGAACTATTTCTGCTGATACATTTCAGGAAATGATATGAAGCATTCTGCTGGACAAGTGGCAGACCAGGCGTGGCAGAGAAAAATACCTGCCCCACCTGTGTTTGGAATGTCTCTTTGTTTTCCTTTTTTTTCTGTTATCCAAACATTGAAACTATGAAAGCCCCAACAGAAAGTGGAGGATAATAATTTAGTAAGAAATATAAAGCTCCTTCAACACAATTGCCCTCTCTGAATGTGGCAGAAAAAGCAGTCTTTAATTTGGCTATTAAATCTTTTAACTGAAGATTAAATATTTATTTGTCCCTTTGGGCATCAGAAACTAGTAATAGGGGGCTTCCGGTTTCGTCACACAACCACCATGGACAGCTGGGAGATCTGCTCTCTCTCCCCCATTCAGTTTCACATCGCTGGGGGCCCCTGAAAAGGGCCGAAAATTGCCCCAAAGAGGCGGCCAGCAAGGAGGAGCTTTTGCTGGATTGCAGGAGAGCAACAACTCTCCTGTTACAGCTAGCAATTCTTCCAAACCAGCAGACAAAAGGACCAGCCATAGATATATGGCTCGTCCCTAGGCTGCTAACAGCCAAAGTCACATTAACATCTGGCAACTTCAAAGCAGTGTGGAAAGGATTGGGTGAGATCTGCCTCTCTTACATCCTAATTACTTAATTACCTGCATAAGCTGCTAAAGTATTTTCCCCCCTGTTGTGAGGGAAGGGGGATTTTAGCCCTCCCTCCAGAAACAGCAGCTATCAACCACTCGGGAGTTTAAAACATTGGAAAAAATACTGGGATCCTAATTGGAATTCTATTTTCTAAAACTGGTGGATTATAAGACTTGTAACTTTCTACTTTCTATTTTTTTTCTCTGATTTTTACTCTAACTATTATTGAAGATTTGGATTCTTTTTCTCCCCCTTAAAATAGAGGGGGGGGGGAAACTGAAAAGATCTAACTAACTCTGAGATGACATTTGCTGGCTAAATTTGAGACTCTAACCTGCTATTCTTTAAGAGAGACTTGTTGAAAACCTTGAAAATAGATAAGATATAAAGCAACCTTGAAGCACCATCTGCAAAAAACTCAGCTCAGCGCTTTACTTGGTGGACTTTCTGATTGTAAGTTTTTTGTTTAGTTTAATACACTACAATGGAAGAACAGGAATGGATTTTTCCCACAGAGGAAGTACAGGAACAAATTCTTTATATGTTAAAAGCAATTATCCAAACTCTCAGTATGCAAGCTCAAACTATGACTTCAACTAAAGAATCATCTATACAGAATTCTATAGAGAAAGGGAAACAACCAAATGCTATGACAGAAGATTTAGATACTCAACAAATACAAACAGTGGAAAATACAAAAAGGAAACTGATAATAGAGAACAAGGAGAGGACTTTTCTTATAAACCAGAAGGAATTTGAAGATAAAAAACAAAAACAGATGAAAGAGAAGATAAATACTTCGGGACAACTGCATCGAACTGGAAAAACAAAGAGACGACCTGCTAAATCAGTAGCCCTCTTAAGAAAATAACAACTGAGCGCCCTTATCAATCTCAAACAATAGTTACAACAATACAAGGAGATCTTTTTGATGATTTAAAAGTGAAGATACGAAAGATGATTTGGCAGAGGAAAAAAAGCTAGAATAAGACTGAAAAGGATAGGGGTTTTGATCTATACACGAGATCTAAAATAGAATATATCTAAATGGATAGAATATGTATTTTGAATATAAGATATTGTAATGATTTGAGATAAAAAATTGGTTTTATAAAATCTAGAAATATAAATATTGAAATAAGAATGTTATATCTAATATATCTTATTAGTTTGTTAAGATATATGGTAGAATTTATATATGAGGTTTGTATTCTAAATATTAGATTATATGAGGAATTGTGATAAAGGAATTGTGCTTAATTAAAATTTGGAAAAAAAATAAATATTAAACGTTAAATTAAAATATTAAGGGAAAATTAATCACCAAATCACTGATTTGCTAAAAGTTTGAATGTTTACAGATAACTAAGACTTGAATTTAAGATACTGTCATGAGTTGAGACACAGGTTAAATAAAACTTAGAAGTATAAATACTAATAATTAAATTCGTATATTGGCTTGTGGTATAAATGCTGATGGTTTATTTATTTATTTTTTTCTCTTTTTCTGGAAAGGAAGAAAGGAAGGAAGTAGAAAGAGGAAAAGAAATAAATTATTAGCCCTAAATATGAGATAGGAGACTGAGAAATTGGGATAAAGATTAAATGTTAAATTTAAATATCAATGCGAAATTAAAATTAAGAAAAACTTATTAGGTTATTATCTAAAAGATGGAATGTTAAATTAATTAAGATATGTATAGACTGAAGATTATTGATGAATACTAGAAAGGTAATTTTTGTTTGATTGATAGAATAAGAACTGTATTGATCTGAAAATGACAGTAGATCTTATGGGGGAAAGAGAGGGAATTAGTTGTTGTAATATTTTGAGATTTGTACTGATGATATTCAAATGTAATGGAAATATGGTGCTTAACCGCCATGCTACTTTTCAAATATGTAAATGTAATATTGGAAAATTAATAAAAAACTTGGTGAAAAAAAAGAAACTGGTAATAGGGATTAACCATACAGTTGTCTATTTTTCCGGAATAAAAGGTGCAATAACTTTGCATCCTATGGATTAAAGTATCCATCTGAATATATTTAGTCATATGCATCCTGTAAATGGACACATTTCTGTGTGTGGAAATTCATTGTTTGTATTTCCATTTTTATTTTCCTCATTCCAAATATAATACTGCTTTTTTTTTTTTTTGCTTTCATTTTTAGAAAGGTTAAACCACAATGAAAGGTACCGGTAATATTGAACTACCTCTCTCTTATGTGCATTTTGCCAGTGCTTCAATGTTTTCCATGTTCCAATCATCTTCTGAGCCATGAATGACTTTTTCCAAAACGTCAGGATAGAGGCTTTTTAAAACCAAAAGATGGGGAGAAAGGACAATTGCAAATGTAGTGTTTTCTTGCCTCTTGAATTCTTCTAGATGGCGTTAGCTAATTGTAGATAAGTGAAAAGTTCATTTGTCCTAGTATTTTACAAGTTCCAAGGTTTGCCCAGAAAGCAAAGTTCCTGGAGCTGAGTTCTAAATCATGGTAAAAGGCAATGCCTCTTGCTCGTTTATTTCAAGATGCACATTAAGTACTACATTTGTTTAATCTTTGCCCCCTGCCACCTTCTCTCCAGGCTTGTCAGATGATGAAGATATTAAGGTGATGCTGCAGGGAACCTTTTTCTGGAAAGTCAAGACTTATCAGCCCCAGAAACAAAGGCTGTTCCGGCTTCTTGAAGATGGGATGTCCATCTGGTTTGAGACTCGTTTTAAAAAGGCTCGCTCCAAACATATTTGTAAGTTTCAAAGTATTTACAAGTGTTTGATTCTGAATTTTACTAAGTGTATTAATTCCATTTCTTTAAATTAAATTCTTATGATCTAGTATTGGCAATATTTCTGGGCTAAACACTTAGAAAAATCATACTGTTTCTTATTCCAGAATTAAGAATTCAGACATTGTCTTTGATAGTTCAATGTTGATAAACTCAATTAATTGGAAAATTGATGTTGATGAGAAAAGATGGTAATTCATGAAATTTGGCATGGAAAAGGACTATAGTGATAGAGAGAAAAGGACGTACATAAACACGCATGCACAAATCTTTCTAATTATGGGTCAAGCATTATAAGATTCCTTCTGATCTACAGCTTCAGAGATTTCCACCATTTTGGGATAAAATGTTAATATAGCGCTATAGTGATTGTTTATTTGAGATCCTTATTGGAGGCTGCGATTAGTGTCTGTGACAAGACAGAAAAATATAAGTCTGTCCATCTTTTTTTAAAAAAATCCTGGCTTTGTCTTTGATGGTATTATTTCCTCACAGGTATAGCTAGATTTTGTCTTTCCTGGGGTTAATGTAATTCAATATAAAACTGTCATCAGATCATCATTTTCATTCAAGCTTTTCTTGTTTGTACGCCCTAGTTGTCATTTTCAACTTCCCATTTGAATCAGATATGAAATGTTTATTCAAATATGAAAAAATGGAGCTTGAGAGAGATCAAAATTACTTTCATATCCTTTTACAAAAGATTAATGATTTTCAGTTGATATAGAATATCACACAGACTTTGTTATACAGAGTAAAATATTTCAGCAATCCTATCACATTTTAGTTTACCAGATCCCACATAAAACAATGACAGCAACCATCTTAACTTTAATTAATTTCACGTGGGCTTATATTTCTCAACATTTTTTCCTTTTATTTTTAAAGTTTTTAAATGTTTTATAAAATATCTGTGGGTCTGGTAATCCATTATGTATAAAGAAAATGAAAACAAGTAAATAATTACACCAGATTAAAAGAAAAGGTTTAACTGTAAGAAATAGTGCTCATTACATTTGTTTTTTTCTAAATGTCTATTAATTTTCTTAGTGCTTATAATTATATCAATATTAATTAAATAATGAAGTCTTTTAATTCTGATCCTCTTCTCAGGAAAAAAAGTTGCAGTGATGGACAAAATTTGCATTAATTTAATTTCTATCTACCACACTGTTAATTGTGCCGTAATTAAATAAGGTTTACAGGTGATATTAAACTGCATTAAAAATTCAGAATTTATGTAATAATGTATAAGGAATTAAATGTTTGTTTTACTTCAGTGCAAAGTTTCTGCCATACATGACTTTAAATCTTTGATTAAGATATGTGTTTACTCTTCACCTATGAACTCTGAAATGGACCATCATTTTTACATGATCAGAATTAAATATGTTGTTTAAAGACTATTTTATTAATTACTCTATTAGATAAAGATATGACTTATGTTTTTGCATTCTTCCATTTTATTTTTTTGTTCCTGACTTACCTTTTTACCTATACTGAAAACAATTAAAATAGTCTTTAAAAAGAAAAAAGGAGGAGAAAGAAGGAGAGGAATAGATGATCAATTATATATAAACAGAATTATGGCTGAGAACTTCCTGATTCATGGCTTAGTCTGTTAATTTGTAAAAGTAATTCTTTCCATTCACAAACAAGAAATACTTGTACTCTCCTGACTCCCGTATGAGTTATTCATGGTTGATCCCTCTAAGAACAGGGTGTGACATAGGAAGGCATGTGTTTGTTTTCTTTGGACATTTTTTTTAACTTGATTGAGGTAGGGCAATGCCTTGCTGGAATGCATTTTGAAAGGTAACTATTAGGACACGGTGAGGCAAGGGCAAATTGTATGGAGATTAAATATGTTGAATTGTTGCTTGACTACTAAATATAAGAGTTTGGGTATAGTTTTTTTGAAATACAGACTTGTTTGGGCATGTGACAGTGAAATTGCCTGTGATAATTGTCCATTAGGTACTCTTGTTATCCATCTGTGGATAATTCACTAGGCCAGACATACAGTCTTCTCATGAGGAGCAACTGTCCAGGATGCATGTGGGTGGTCTCACGATATCTTCTTTGTCCAGAAAAACGGACGACAGCCAGACAGAATTTACCACCTGGCTGCTAATCTCTACTGCAATGCCATTCCTGGTCCTTCATGGATGTCAATTATAGATCCTCACCTGGAAACAAAACTACTGGGATTTCTGAAAAGATTTTAATTGCTAATTGGGTAAACATAACCAAATCTTGAAAAGTTGTAAAAGCAATTTTCCAGATGAATTTATTCCTGATATAAAGGTGGAGTTAGTTTCAATGTTTCTTCCTCTCCTGAACAAAATCACATTTTCTATAATACTGCAACTCCTTCTAATAACAGTTTTCCTCTTTCTGCCATGCTCTTAATATCTATTAGACATCCTATCACAACTATGCAAACCTACCTTCCCTCCCTCCCTCCCTCCCTTTATATAAAATGTTGAGATTGTCTTACATTAATTATTCTCCCATTCTTTTCCACTACTTCCACTGTACTGGTTTTCTTTCCAGAGAAAATCTGATCAGAAACACATATTAAAAAAACTGCATAATATTTTTGATGTATAATACTAAGAACCTTCTCTCTGAAATCATCAGTCAGAGTAGGAGTGCACTCACAAGAATGATCAAAAGTAACTACTGTACTGTATCTTTTCCTTCTTTATGTTGCTATGTCAAACATGGAGATTTAAATCCCCCAAACTAGAATTCTCAAAAATACTAACTGATCCACATAGATAGAAGCAAAAGGCATTTCTTAAACAGTGGGAAGTATTGAGGGGCAAACTGGCCAATATGTCTAGGATTGGTTTCACTTGAATTGAAATGCTGATACATTTAATTAATTAATTAATTAATTAATAATTAATATGCTGCCCATCTCGTGGTTCATGGTGACTTTGAGCAGCTTACAATCTAATAAAACATACAGATATAAAAACAATTATAAAAACAATATAAAATTACAAAAGATTAAAACAAGTTAATAAAACCCACAGGTCTGGAGTGGAAAGGTGGTGGTACCTTCTCTGTTAGTGCACCAGTCATCTCCAGGCAACTGCTTCTCCTTCATTGCTCCATGCCCCAATGGGCACAACCAAGTTTTAAGGTTTTTTTCCTGAAGACCAGGAGGGAGGGGACAGATCTCACCTCCAATAGCAAGATGCTCCTAGGAATGGTGGCTGTGGCACAAAAGGCTCTTCTCCTGCACTCCACCTGCCACAATTACTTGGCTGATGGGGCCTGCAGTATGTCCATTATGTCAGCATGAGTGGGGTGGGCAAACTCATTTGGGAAAGACATCTTCTATAATGCAAAGGATTATAGAGCAGCAGTCCCCAACCTTTCTAGATTCATAGGCAGGCAGCAGCAGCAGCAGAAAGGGGATGGTTTGGTGTGTGCAATCTAGCTCCCATGCATCCACAAATGAAGCTTTGCACACTTGCCCACTGCTTGTGTGGCCCAGTTGCCAATGGGCCGCAGACTGGTATACAGTGGTGGGATTCAGCTGGTTTGCACCACTTCGGCAGAACCAGTAGCTAATTTTTTGTTGCCCAGGCCCAGAATGGACTTCCGGAAGCGGCATCCAGACAGAGGGCCGGTTGTTCACATGTTTGAATCCCACTACTGCTAGTATAGTGGTTGGGGACCCAGTGGTTGGGGACTCCTGTTATACAGCAGTGTTATACTACTGATCATTTATTTATTTAAATTCATATCCCATCCAACTCAAATGACTCTAGGTGAAGATAACAACTTAAAAGTATAAACTCAACAATAACATAAATCAAAATTATAAAAGCAGCAGTTGCAATAAGTCAACAGTGATAAAGTCTCCCAAGAGGGACACAAATAAGATTCGGCTAGGATTGAAAAGTGGTGAAAAATATTCTAAAAGCTGCGAGAGGGAGTTTTAACTAAAATAACATGTCCACATAGAATTCCTGGTGTCTCATATATACCCTCCTCACTTCATAGGTCTTTCCACAATGTTATGATTAAATTAATTCTGGCTGTATAGGGCTTGTAGCTCATGACCAGCTCTTGAATTGGGGCTGGAAATCTATTAGTAACCTGAAGCAATGGAGAAGTAGTGGGGTTGTGCTGACTCCATTCACCATTTTTGTTATTGCTTTCAAAGGTGGCAGGCTTTTTTTCTTCTCACTTTTTTCTTTCTTTCATGTTGGGCTGTGACTTTAGTAGCAGAAATAATTATATTTTTTACTTAATTTTTCAAGAGTTCTTATTAATTTTTCCTCTCAGAATAAGACTATGTCACAAGATAGATCTATTTGGCTTGGGGAGGTGAGAGGAAGGATCTGCAGGCACAAAGAATGTAGATCTACTTGCTTCCACAGGCAGCAGGATGTGTGCATTTTTTAATCCTTAAAAGGAATAATTTCAATCACTGTCTTCAAGAGAAAACAGGGTTAAAAATTTTGGAATTTCAGATTCCATTTTTTGTTTCATCTTTTTCCACAACTTCTTGCCTTCTACTTTCCAAATTATAAGAAGTTCTAAACCAACATTTATTAGGAAGCCAATATAAATGGGCCTCTTGTGGATATCTGACAGAAGTGAAACGTGCAGTCTATGATGAACTCTTGGGAATCTTTGTTAAAATGTGCTCTGAGGACCCCTGGGGATCCCCCCCCCTCTTAGAGTTCCTGTGAAATCATAATTATTTGCCAGCTGTTTGCAAGAAATTATTTGTAAAAATTTAAAATATTCTTTTTTTATTTGTTAAAATATATTTTTTCCATGAGCAATATTTTATTTATGTTAATATCTAATGGACGTAATATTGTTATTTTTGCATGAATGAATAAACATTCTACGAATGTGTCAATTTTAATTTTTAATATGGTAAACATGGATCAATACAGGTAGACCTCAACTTACAACAGTTTGTTTAATGACTGTTCAAAGTTACAGTGGCACTGAAAAAAAAGTGACTTATAACTATTTTCAACATGACTGTTGCAGCATCTCCATAGTCCTGTGATAACATTCAGAGGCTTGGCAACTGACTCATATTTATGGTGGTTGCTGTATCCCAGGGTCATGTGATCGCCTTTTGTGACCTTTTGACCAGCAAAGTCCATGGGGAAGCCTTAAAAAACCATTTTACTAATTTAACGGTTGCAGTGATTCACTTAACAACTGTGGCGAGAAAGGTTGTAAAATAGGGCAAAAGTCACAACAAATGTCTCACCTAGCAATATAAATTCTGAGCTCAACTGTGGTTGTAAGTTGAGGACTACCTGTATAAACCATATAAACAAATCTCAGCCGTAATTTTTAAAAATAGAAAGAGATCCTGCGAGCAAAAAGTTTAAGAAACATTATCTGAGATATCCAAACAGAGACGAGATGGTATGTTTCTTTGGCTGATCAAGCCAGTGGCTCTCTTCTGTCATATTTAAGTGGGATCCAATCACTTTTTTTGTAGAGATATTTAAAGTCCTGCTGAGATGGTAAATGAGAAACATCTGAATAAATTAAAGTGCTAAATAAAATACACCCTGGTCTGAGATTTGCCTCCTCTTCTAAAAGTGCTAGATTATTATCCCCACCCTGCCCAGGCATTAGCCTTAGCATCATAAAACCTTTATTCTGGACAGTTTGTGAGTTTTTGATAGACTCTTGGTTGGGAAATGAAGAAAACTACCCTCATATTAGAAATAAACACTGCTCCCTCTACTTCAGATGCACCTTCTAACTGCTGATCTGGGATGAAGGGAGTTGGAATTCAGTATTGTTGAGGGACATCAGATCAGGAAGGGTTAATTGGCACCAATGACACCCATTCTCCAGGGTCTCAGAGACTGGCTTTTCCAGCCCTATGGTGAGATATTGTGAGTTGAATCTGGGGTATTTTGCCTCCTCGTTTTATGCTCAACTATTTGTTTATTTATCAAATGTACATACGATTCATCCCATTGTGTGAGGCAATTATAGTCTTTCCCTGCTTTCTTATGGCAAATGAAAAAATTTTTCACTGAAAATGAGTTGAGACACTTCGCATACTTCTAATTTTTATCTCTCTCCATGAATTTGATGCCTTATCTTTCAGTCTCCATCCTCCATGTTGAAAGTGTACGTGAAGGTTACCAATCTGAGGGGCTTCGGAAATTTGGTGGTTCTTTTGCAGAAGAGCAGTGCTTCACTATAGTCTTCAGGGGAAAACGGAAAAACCTGGATCTGGCTGCCCAGACTGGGATTGAAGTTCAGCAGTGGGTGAGAGGACTCACAAAACTAATGGCCAGGTGTGAAGCCATGAGCCAGCGAGAAAAGCTTGAGCAATATCCTTTCTTTCTATATCTGCAAAGACTTAGGAGCACGGTAGATATTATTCCTTCTTAAAACTGAGGCATAGATTTTAAAAAGAGAAAGGGAGATTTTGTTGAATCATTCCAAAACCTTCCTTTCTCTTTTTAAAATCTATGCCTCAGCTTGTTTTAAGTACCAGACATCTATGTTTTAAAAATACATATGGTACCATATTTGAAATGGGATTTGAAACCATATTTGGTTTCATGGATTGCTGTGCACTAGTGATGCACAAAAAAAGCAATTAGAATTAGAATTAGGGAGCATCTTACCCCTACCATCTTATAGCATCTTCCATGGTGGGGGAATGTTGTGATACCATTATAAATAGGGAAATGGCCACAGAGTCAAAGGTTGGATTATGCCTCCGAGACCAAAATACATCAGCAAAGGAATTCTATAGCAGTGGTGTTGCTGGAGTGTAACCATTCTCTGTTTGAAAACCCTTACTTAACGAAAAAGAATCCATTGACTTTAGAGGCAGGTTTTTTTTTTTTTTCTGAAACAGGTTATATAGCCAGAGATTTTTCTTTTTTTACAACTTGAATTTGCTAGACATTTTAAACATATGTTTAAGAATTAGGTAGAAATTGCTCGATCAAATATTTGTAGTTAGGTGATATACAGTCTTTGACTCTGTCTTCTGCATTTAAAATATGCCCCAACACTCATTCCCTTTTTTTTAAGAGTTTGTATTAAGACTCATCTTCACAATTTTCTTGAATTAACTATATAAGAGAGAAGGAGAGTGAATTTAAATTTTAAAGTAGATGCTTCCCAGTTTTTTACATTGTCCTTACATCAGGCCCTACCTGGATCCATGGCATCTTACATGAAGCTGACAAGAACAAAGACAATAAGATGAGCTTCAAAGAGATCAAAAACATGTTGCGAATAGTAAACATAGATATGAATGACATCTATGCCTATCAGCTCTTTAAGGTATTCATATAATTCTCTGTCTCACCTTCTGGATTATATTTCATGCTCTTTTTAACAGAAGCTTTATATTCAAAAGATGCTTTTCCATAGTTCCTGAACTAGTTAAAATGTCAGACTGAGGAAGTTCATTATCAGTTGTGGAAATTCTCTAGATGATTTTGAACTAGTGTTTCATAGACCAATCTACCTCACAATATTAGTTGGGCTTGAATTTCTGGAGGAATGTATATAATATGTATTTCCCACCCAAAACATGGTACTTGGTCAGTCCTAGGCCATAATGAATATTAGTTCATTTCTTTTAGTTTCCCTTCCATTATTACTCTTGCTGTTGTAGGCCTTTCAGTCTTGCTCTCACAAAAGTATCTGTTCAAAGGCTCGAGACAATCCATGGAGTCAAGAGAGAGCAGTGTTGTCTCTTTATTTGGTGATTTTGTGCTCTTCTTTAATGCAACTTTTGATAATAAATAATATGGAACATGAGTCCCAGGTCATAATGCTTATTATATTTCATTCTGAACCAAGTAGTTTTAAACAGTATTCATAATTTCATGTATGTTTCTGTGGCTGCAGTCAAAACAACGTATATTTTATGCAGATTTAGTATGTTTTTATTAACTGTTTTAATTGCAGGGTAAAGGGGAAAGAGCAGGTAGCTCTTAGTATAGTGCAGTCTTTACCAAGCTGTTATGCTTTAGATACATTGGGACTGCAATTCTCAATGTATCTAAAGCATATCAGTTTGGGAAATCCTGAGAATTCCTGACAGCTGTGTTGGCTACGAAATTGGGAATTATGGTATCAGTATACCTGAAAGTTGCCAGGCTGGGAAAGTCTGAAAGTTGCCTTTTCCCATGTTAGCCATTCTGTTGCTAATCAGGTTCCTCTGATACAGTTTTCATTGCAGTTCCTTTATTCTTCTGCCTCTCTTTTACCAGGAGTGTGACAAATCAAACAATGACCGCTTGGAAGAATGTGAGATTGAGGAGTTCTGTACACGGCTAATGAAACGGCCTGAGCTGGAGGACATTTTCCACCAATATTCAGGCGAGGACTGTGTGCTTTCCGCTGAGGAACTGCAGGAATTTTTGCATGACCAGGGTGAAGAAACAAGCTTGCAGCAAGCTCATCATATCATTCAGACATATGAGCTCAACGAGAAAGGTATGAACGTGCTACATGTATCACAACAATATGATAGTAAATTTGCCAGCAAGCGAGTTACAATATTTTGTTTTCCAGGAACCATTGTTTGTTATGGTGGTAGATTACAAGAACATCCAGAAAGACTGAGCTACTTAGGTATACCAGCTGATCAGGAACTTGACACAGGTTGCATGAAGGCCATTATTTCTGTGGAACAAGCCACAAAGTTTTCTTCCTGCTCCTACTACTTCTGGACAAGTAGTCAATCCAATACTGACAGGCTTGTAATAAATACAGTATAAGGAGTACTAGGATTAGGAATATTGCAGAAAAAATATTTGCTTAATTTTAGTAACTGAATTCTTTCCTTGAATATTGTACTATATAAAGTAACAAACAGAGGAAATAGCGCAGACCAAATAAAGGAAATGGTCTAGTTAGTAAAATACTCCAGGTATTTACTTTTAAAATTTAAAAAGAAACTTGATAAGATGTTTAATATATTTTATTATACAAGCGAACCAAAATTGAGGTATGGCAAGACTGCCTTGCACTTTTTTCTATTGTAGAGACAATATTGGTGCTGATGTAGCAGTCTGGCTTGAGTGGCATTCTTGCTGCCATTTATGCAAATACTCTTAGATAAACTCAGCCCATAAATCAACCAATCTTTAATGTTTTGTTTATAACTTAAATTGACTGTATTATTTAATAACATTAACAATAAAATTATTTTCAGCAATATAACACTAGAATCTTCCATGAGCTGAGCTTGTCTATTTATAGCTACATGTATTTTCCTTTGTGTTACTGCCATTGTCACCTTTGGAGATTTTTATTTTTTTATTTTATTTTTTAAAAAATATATCCCAGTATAGTTTATAGACCTGGAATTTTCTGGTTGTCATATCAGAAATACTTATCAGCACTGAATCAGTTTATTTCTTCATTTTACATCCAACAAGAGTCAAATAGGTGCTACTACCTAGATGACAAAACAAATGAGGGGAAAGAAGAGCCACATAAAAAATACAGTTGTTAGCTCTAGTATTTCCTCTTTACTCTTAGAAAATTCTAGACACCCTTGAAATGGAGAAGCAAAGAAGTCACCTTTGCCCAGCTCCTTAACTCAGTCCTAATGCTTCAGGGTCCCAGATTATGTAACATGTATGGTTTATAGTAGGGATGTCAAACTCGCAACGTGATGTGACGTGTTGCAATGTATCGCGGGTTTTTTGCCATTGCTGGCAATGGGGTAGACGCAGTTTCGCTATAATGCATCCAGCCCATGGGCCAGCAATTTGACATCCTGGTTTATAGGATTATTTATTCCCATAATTGCTTTTCTCTGGAACTTTGGTTGGTACAACAGTAAATCAAGCAAGTTTAGTTTTGGTAGCAGTATACAATCAATGTCCATATGTACCTACAGAAGAGATTGTTATACTTAACAAGGAGTGTAAGAGATAAAGAGGAGTGTCTTCTTGTAAAAATGTCAACTGAAACAATCTTTTAGATGGCCCTAGATCTCATATTTAACTCCCAGTTGGCATCTTTTCTGAATGCGACTTATTGGTATTTATTATGTATTCTTCAGTTGATCTAAAACAAATTAAAACTGGACAATTATACCTGTATTTACATTAAACAGGAATTTTTGTACACAGCTAAATTCTCTCTTCTATACAAGGAAAAGTGCAAGAGCCTGATTCCTCCTTCCTGCACTTGCTCATCCTTGTTTTTCTTCTATCTTCAGGTTCTACTTTGAAGAAAAAAACTTTCAAAGCCATTCTATGGCTATTGTTGTCTTTTACTTTTAATCTTTTACAATCAGAACAGCAAAAGATTTTATGACATTTTAATTAACTTTTAACTTTTGGTTCATTTTCAGCTCTGCCAAAAATATATATGTAACTGCAGTCTTGGGAGATACATTTTTGGAACTAATTTTATCTTTTCCATGTCTAATTTGAATTGTGATTCAATGTCCAGGGTTGCAATTATAGTACGATATAAAGTGTTTGTATTATGGGTCAGCAACAACTCTACATTATTAAAAGCTCCTATTCTTTCCTTGGTTTCCTTCTTCTGTTTCTTTTGAAATTGTTCTTTTTTCACTTTGAACTCTAACCCTTTCTTCAGATTTTGCTGAAGATACTTGTTTCTACCTCTCTTTCTTAGAATTTTCTCCTGCTATTCTGTCTTGCATTCCCAGGTGCCTATCTGATTTTTCCATTGGAATATTTATTGAAATGTAAATTCTTTGAGGCCAAACTTTTAATATCCTCCCAAGCCCTCCTCTCTTTGTCGTATATTGACAATGACACTTCCAGCCCCAGTTTTTTGACCATACCTGAACCTTTCTCTGGGATTCTGCTCTCTTTCCTTTGACATGAACATTTCAGTCTACTGCCAAAGAATGATGTTTTAGTTTTCAAAGGATTACAAAAAATAGTTATTTATCTGTCTCTAAGCAGCCATAACTATCTTTGCTTAAACCAAAGTTTCTCAATCTCAGAAACTTTAAGATGTGTGGACTTTAACTCCCAAAAGTCTTAAAGATATTAAGATTGAGAAACATTGGTCTAGACCAGTGGTTCTCAACCTGTGGGTCGGGACCCCATTTGGGGTTGAACGACCATTTCACGGGGGTCGCCAAACAAGGCTGTCCCCATTTTTTCTCCCTTTGGCCACGCCCCTGGCACCCGGTGATGTATAAGTGGTTGGGGGTCACCACAACATGGGGGACTGTATTATGGGGTCGCGGCATTAGAAAGGTTGAGAACCACTGGTCTAGACGATGTATAGGCTGGCACTGGGCTTGCAAGTCTACTTCAAGGCCCACCAACAAATTGAGATGCAAAACAACAGCTTGTGGATATATTTTAATATTAGGGAACAAGAATATTTCAAATATATTCAACCAAGGAGTTTGTTTTTGATACCAGAAACAAGAATATCACTAGGAACCTTAGCCCAAGGTGTACCAAGATACCTAAGCATTTTTTCTGCTCAGAAATACAGGCCTTTATCCTATTACACAAAGAAGTCTATGAATGATTTGTCATCGCAGTAGCTTAATTTAGAGTGCAAGATAGCTTGGGAGCCAGAAATTCTATTCTAAAATCAGTTATATCACTTAGAGATATGCCTTTTATATCCAACCTTCCTGACTACAAAGGATATTCTTGGTGCTTTCTGAGCTTGGTTGTTTTCTTGCAGACATTTCATTACCAAATAAATATTCTTTTCTATCAATGTCTGTGCAAGCCTGAAATCCCAAGCCAATATAAAGCAACATTTATGAATTTATAAACTTTTATTAATCTGTCACAACACTTTCAACAGAAGCCAGAATAGAGATAGAGGTCAGAGAATAAGAAAAAGTTGAAAAGATAAGATAGAGTTTCAGATATGTAAGCTATGTCAGAGGTGCAGAGTTGCTTCAAAGAGGCTGAAGATAGAAAACTAGGGTCATGCAAGAACAGACTGCATGTTAAGAGCCAAAGAAGTCCACAAAGCTCACTCCAATAGTTAAGTCAAAGGTCTGATTATAGAATACGGGGTAGGAAGTGATGGGAAGCAGGAGAGTTGTTCCCAACAAGGGGAGGTAGTCTAGAGGATGCTCAGAGTTTTGGACTTTGCTTAATTGGACTAGTTGATGTCCCCTTCTCTTGAGGAATCACAGATATGTGCTCTCAGTCCGCTTTAACTGGTGATATGATTTAGAGCTCGGCAGTCTTCCAAGGCTGAATTAGCAGCCACTTGTGCAGAATCTGATTCACAGGTTACAGAATGCTTATAGCTTTTTCCTTTACAGGCTAAGAATTCAGTGGCTCTCCTCAGAATCAAAGGAATCCATAACACAACGTATTTTTTTTGCTTGTTTGTGATTCACCTCTATATATTGATATTAACTTAGTGTTCTTTTGAGAAAACTGTTTATTTGCCAATATTCTGACTCTTCAAATTACAGTGCAAATCTTCAATCTCAACTCTTACCTCTGATTTTTTTTCTACATAAGCTTCTCAATCTTATCTTTAGGGCTTCCACATCCTTTCTATTTATATCCTGTTGTTGTCAATCTGTACCCGTCTTAGCCACTAAAGGACCTGCTCCAGCCTCTGAAAGTCTATTTGCTTTCTACTCCTAATTTCTCAATGTTACCACCTTTAGTGCACATACTAAAATAATTGCAGATTATTTTCCTGTTTACTGCTGTTCCATTCATTCTTCATTCACTTTCATCTCATCTATGTATGCCAGTTATGAGACTGTGAACTTCTTTGGGGAGGGATCTTTAAACTTGTTCTTGGTAAAGCTCCATTTGTTGTATGTAGATGGCATTGTATAAATAACAATGTAATATTGCCCTTGAGTCTTTGTAAAGTTATCATCCTTGTGTAGCCACAAAAATAGATGTTTATTCCTCAGAAGATGGTCTATTATGGATGATGGCTGCTGAACATAGATATTATCTTCTTCATTCATCTCCAGAACAACATCCATGAGATGATACTGCCTTTCCTTTTTTAAAAAAGTGGAGTCCTTGATGGTTTTATCACAGTATTAAAATATAGTACCTTACAATAAAACCAATGCAATTGTTTTAAAAGATTAAACTAAAAACAAAACAACAACAGTAAAAAAGTCATTGAGAAGGGAAAAAGTTAGAAGTGCACATTCATTTACAAGAATTTACTATGATTTTTTGGTCCTTCACTTTCTCCTTATCCTTCAAAAAGTGGATTGAGGAGGAAAAAAATGAGATTACATCACATTAGCATTTTGCTAGTTGCAGGGAGAGGGAAAGAATGAGATACAGTTTGGAGTTTATACAACAGTATCTTATGAAATGTATCTGGTCAACCTGTTTCATGGATTGTGGTCAAACCTGCTTCACCAACTGTCTCTATTCCACAGCCAGGCAACACAATCTCATGATGCTGGATGGTTTCACAATGTACTTACTATCTTCAGCGGGAAACATCCTTAACCAGGCCCATGCTGGGATCTATCAGGATATGAGCCAGCCTTTATGCCATTACTTCATCTCTTCCTCCCATAATACCTACCTAACAGACAATCAGATTGGAGGGGCCAGTAGCACTGAGGCATATGTTCGGTAAGAAGTTTTCATGATCCAACTGTGAACAACTATAGCCAGTGTGGGTCATATTGAAAAACGTGATAGAAAAGGAGGTAGCAGAGTAGGTATCGTTCTCAGAAATCCACAAACATCTAATTGAAAGCAAGTCAAAAGGTCATATATTTGGGGGCAGAGGTGGGGAGGAAGATCCTATCATATCCTGAGAACTGGTAACCACCTGTTATGAGTTTTTAATCTATGATTCATAGAAACTGAAGGGGAACTGGGTGAGCAATGGATTAGGAGAGGATAACTGGTTAATGGGAATGGGTGTAGTTTGAATAGAACAAGATAAACAAGGCCATGGCAAGATGACAGAAAAGAACAATTAGACTGGTATCTGAGGAGGAATTGCCCTTTCCATCTGTTTATTCACTTTTCTGGCATCAGGTGGTTCCATTAATTAGGTAGCATGTAAACTTATTATTCACATTCATAATATTCTCAACTGCCCTTGAGTGAACAGTTTAGGGGCCATTTTTGAACAGAATATAGTGAAGAGCAGATATGGTCAGCAGATATTATTTGTAATTTTTGTGAATTGAAGTATGCAGGAACTCTCTGGGAGTTCTGGCATCAGATCCAAGCATGTGACTCCTTGTAACAACCAGAAAAAATATTGAATTTGGCCAGTTCAACAGGAGAATCAGATTACATATTATAGAAAGTCCAATGGCTCACATAATGTATAACACAAAATATAAACCATTTCTTTTACATCACCTGCCCAGTCTGACTACATTTCCTCAGCTTGATCCTCATTTGTCTGATCTGGAATATAATCTTTGTTTAATGAATATTGCATAAAAATAATTGAACTACAGTTTCTATATTAATTGGTTTGATTATGCTACCCGGCATAGCCCATTGCTTTTCCTAGGCTGTCTTGTGTATCTATTTATATAATTTTAGATGTGGGTGTCTCTTCAAAAGCACATATAGTTTCACATATTCTAGATTTGCTTTAGAAGCTTTAGAGAAGCATCTTGATTGCATGCATACCAAACTGAACATCTTGAGTATTGGAATGAAAACTATAAATTCTTCTGTTTTTTACCTCTATCCATCCCAGTTACATTTTTGAAATGCAAAATCTATTTCTTTATCCTTTTTTCCCCATTGGCAGGGCATTAATGAAGGGGTGCCGTTGTGTGGAGCTTGACTGCTGGGAAGGTTCTAATGGAGAGCCCATTATCTACCATGGCCATACTCTTACCTCCAAGATCCTCTTCCGGGATGTAATTGAAAGCATTCGGGACCATGCCTTCAAGGTAGACTAAACTATAATACACGTTTTATACTTGAGATCTTCTTTTTTAGTTTTAATGTCAGGGGCAAACAACCAGAACCACTCATAGATATTTTATTGTTGATCACCTATATTACAGGAATCTTACCAGACTGCCTGCCTTTTCTTGGGAAGTGGCAGATATAGACCTAGAGTTTGATCTCAGATGTTTCCTGTTCTAACCAATCCTAAGCTGGAATGTCTGTTTATTACCCTAAAGAACCCCTCTCTCCTTTAGCCAGTGATTCCACCACATTTAATGATATCATTATTCATATGCTATATTATTGATTAAAGCAATAGCTGAAGTAAAAACATTCTTGATTTATATATGATATGGCCTAGATATTTTATTAGAAGAAGCATTATTTGTTATGTGAAACAAGAAAAGTTTTCAATAGAGGCTTCCCAGCACTCCTTATCAAGTAGCATTATATTGTTTATATATTGGTAATGCAACAGTCATAATACTCCCTGTATTGTTAAATGTCCCAGAATTAAATTTTAAAATGTATCAAAGATTGGTTGAAAGCTTATGAGATCTTTGGGATGCCAAAATCTTAAAAGATCTGGGACATTAAAAAAAGATTTTGAAAATTTGCAAGCATTTTAATATATCTAATGGAGATAGCCTCTAGTTTCTTTGTTTCATTCTCATTTCCTAATAAATTGTCAAGATGTTTTCAAAATACAACTTTATTCAAGAACCATCCAGAAAAGGAAGAGTACTTCTAGGATGGTGTCTATGGAGATTCTCAATCATCCAGGTCATAGTTATACCAAAAGTGCTTTTTTTTTCAAGAGGCAACTGGACATTTCGCTTCTCATCCAAGAAGCTTCTTCAGCTCTGACTAAATGATGGGGAATGGAAGGAGTTATACTGGTCACTTGCATTCTTTTAGAGAGTCATTGATCCACCTGGAGGTTTATCTGTGTCGTCAGGGTCACCTGAGTAGTGCAAATGGCTGTGGAGCCTTTTTGAACTGTTGAAAGGACTGTGTTGTGGATTGAAGATAGATGATGTCATATCCCTCCTCCTCTGTTGAGAAAGGGCTGTTCAATAGACAGCCCTCTCTCAACAGAGGGGGAGGGATACGATTTGCACGATTCAGGTGACCCTGATGACACAGATAAACCTCCAAGTGGCCTCAATGATTCTCTAAAAGAATGCAAATGAACAGCTGTCTGCAAGGTGTATAAATCCTTCCATTCCCCATCATCCAGTCAGAACTGAAGAAGCTTCTTGGATGAGAAGCGAAACATCTTCAAAGAAAAATGGGAAAGTCCAGTTGCCTTGTAAAAAAGCATCTTTGGGATTCTAGGATGGTGCTTTGCCACCTGTTATTTTAGTAAATCCTTGTATTTGAAAAAATTTAACACCATATATTCTTCTAGCCTAATTGTACAACTGTTGATTGATAAATTCTTTGCATAAGGTAAAATAAGGTTTTTCATGTACCCTCCACTCAAAATTTTTAGGACCTTAAAAATCAACCTAGGAGCAGAATTGTTGTGAAATGTTTTGAATCTGTGGGTCAAAATAATTGTATAAATATCATAACATATTTACTTTGGCCTGTAATAGCAATAGCACTTTAGCTTATATATCACTTCCTAGTGGTTCACAGCCCTCTCTAAGTGATTTACAGAGTCAGCATATTGCCCCCAACAATCTGGGTCCTCATTTTACCGACTTCGGAAGGATGGGTGCCTGAGCCGATCAGGATCGAACTCTTGGCAATCAGTAGAATTAGCCTGCAATACTGCATTCTAACCAGTGCGCCACCACAGCTCCATACAAATCAAATATTTAGGGCCTTCTGGAAAATGAATTGATTTATTCTTCTGGAGTACCCCTATATACTGTCCAGAACATCCCATGAATTTGAGAAAGCTGGCAACAAGATTTATATATACAAATGCACTTGGTTGTCATGTATTTTCATAGATACCATCAGTTTCAATAGTTGCATAATAAATAAATATCAGCAGCTATTTTGTTTCCCACTGTTGAGACATATCGAGGAAATGTTTACGTGCTGTTATTTTTATTTTATATTGCTTGTAAAACTAAAGATCCACAACCTACATGAAAAAAATGGCAGGTTTGTATAAAACTATATCCAGAAGTTCTCTCTGAACTAACAGGAAAAAATAGTTGCTATAAACAATATTTGAAAAGGGCTGCTGTAGAGAAATTATATCTTCCAATCCTACTTTATATCCCCAGCACTCTTCCTATCCTGTGATTCTTTCTCTGGAAAACCACTGTGGCCTGGATCAGCAGTCTACAATGGCCCATCACCTGAAAACTATTCTAGGGGACATGCTGTTGATCCAACCACTTGATGGAGACCTGTCTAAGCAACTGCCCTCACCAGAGGTAATATAGTTTGCCTCTATTTTCATTATATAATTGTCCAGCATTGCATAGGTGGGTGATCAACAACTTTCCTAGTAATCTACAGGCTATGCAAACCACATTGAGAATCATGAAGGGAGTGTAATTTGATGAATAGGAAACTGGTCTTTCTACGCTCTAGAACAAGAAGCATGTATTTGACAAATCAGCATTACTTTGCAGCCATGGTCCGATTTGTATTTGTACAATATCACTATCCCAGAAATTTGAGGGACTAAGAATTGCACATTATCAACTTCTATCATTTGCAGTAACTGCACTATTTTACATGTTTATTCTATATTTTTTAGTTCTTTTTTTATACTCAAAATGAATTTTTATGTTCTTAACTGTCTAACAATATCACACCTGAAATAGTGTTTTGTGGTGGGATTATACGACAAATAAACAACAGTTTGGTCTAATGGTTAAGCTTAGAAAATGGGGGACCGTGAATTCAGCTGGGTGACTTTGAGCTAGTCAGCCTGTCTTGGCCTAACTCACCTCACAAGGTTATTGTGGGAAAAACAGGAGGAGGAAATTGTGTTGAATATATTTGCTACCTTGAGTTGTTTATAAAAATAATAAAAGTGGAATATAAATAAATAAATGTTTTATTTTTCATGCCATATTGGTACTTCACAAAAAATGTAAAAGTTTGCCAAATTAAGTGAAGAATAATAGCAGCGCGAGTTATACTTTTGCTGATTTAAGGATGTAGGAAATCACAATCCCTTATTCAGCTAATTAAGATTATTAGGAAGGCTTGAGGGAGTTTCCGGATGACGTTGTTGTCCTAGACCCTGGGACACAAACTCTCCGTGCCCAGGGTCCGAATTTCTGTCGCTGGCAGGCCCATTAGGGCTGAATGCCACCCTGGAGGGGTGGCCACCGAGAGGTGAATTCTTTGAGGAAAGGGAGCTGGCAATAGCCAGCTCCCTGAACTAAAAATAGCCTCTGGAACCGGCGAGAGAAAGGCAGAGAGCTTTGCGTCTGCTGCCATCTTCAACAGAACATCGAAGACAGGAGTCAGCTGTTTAAGGAAACAAGCAACTGATCCGGGTGAGATGATATTAGTTTTTGATGCAAAGTGGACTCTTAAGAAAATTTCCTGCCTTTAACAATAAGCTGGAAGCCTAAGGGGAAGAGGAGGAGGGGATTTTTTGCTTCTCCCCCCCTCCCAAAAAGCAGCGGTTTCAACCTTTTAAAAACTTTTGAAAATCCTTTGAATTGAAGCTATATCGAAGGAACCAGCTTGTCTCATTATAGAGGAGAACAAAGACCTATTATTATTCTAATTGGGAAAAGCCACATTAACTGCTCTTTCTTAGAACTTTTTGGAACGGGTTAGTTTTGTGTATTGACTGATGGAACTTTCTTTCTTTCTTTTTTACTTTCTCCCTAAGTAAACGATGAGGGAAGAAACAGCATCCCCTCGTGGTTATTTTTGCAATTTCTTTCCTTTGTTTTCCTGCTACACTATTTTTTTTATTATACTATCTTTGTTGATATAGCTGTGGTGTTTGGCTCAATGTCCAGACACTTGGCTGACTGCCCAGACATTCCTACCTCGTTTGAAGATTACTAAGAGAGACTGCTCTCTATTTTTGGGGGGTTTTTTTGTCCTTGCTTGGTGTTTGATTCCCTTTTTGGATTGATTTTATTCTCTTTAAAATAAGGGAACCATAGAAGAAGGTTTTTTTATGTCTACATTTGGATTATAAATCAAATATTCTTTTTTTCTTTTTTTGTCTTTTTTGTTCTTTTTTATTTGTTACTCTTTTTTGTCAGCCTTGTTGTGTGGATATAAACATATTTTTCATCTTTCTTCTTTTTCTATTTGCTTTTTTTTTGCGCAGAGATCGGCTATCCCTTTTTATATTTTTTCCTATTTTTTGATATTACTATTGCTGGATATTTTTATTTTTACTTTTATTTTTTTCTAAGGGTTTTGGATTACATATGTATTTTTGGGTTTTTTTAAAATCTCCTCTCCTTTGAGCTTTTTGGTGGAATATAAGTGGCCATCGGGCCCTACCCTTGGATTACAATTAATTGGGCCATCCGGCTTGATGTTGGATTATAAATAAATACAATAAATACAATAATCAAGATGAGTGTTTCAAACTTGGCGAAAGGGGCAAGGAAGGGACCCTCTGCTCCTGCATCAACCTCAGTTAGTCCAGTGCTTCAAAAATCGATTACAACCTTTTTACAGCTAGACATGCAGCAGAAAGATATGCAAGCCATTCTCCAGGCAATTATGGATTCTAAAATGCAAATGAAAAAGGATTTTGAAGACTCTAAAATGGAAATGAAAAAGGATCTTGAAGACTTGAAAAATGATCTGCTTAAGATGGATCAAAAAATGGAATCCTTTCAACAGGCAATGTCAGATACTCAACAACGAATGCAAAATATTGAAGACAAGTCAGTAGTAGTAAACCAGATATTAGAGGCTCTCCAAGATGAAAATCAGAGATTGGCACAATCTAACGCAGAGCTGGAAGAAAGTATGGCAATGATGGAGTTTGAACGCACATCATATTTTCTAAGATTCCAAAATGTGATAGAAGAGAGTGATGAGAACTTGTTACTATTGATAACTGAGTTATTGGCGGACTTGCTTGGAATGGAAATGGATCAAATCAAAAGAGAAATTGATCAAGTCTATAGAATGAATTCAAATTATGCAAGAAGAAATATAATGCCTAGGGAAGTTCATGTTAGATTCAGCAAAAGAGCAGTACGGGATGAGATCCTGAGACTAGTGAGGGACCAACCTCTGAAATACAAAGATAAAGATTTGGTAGTTCTCAAACAGATCCCAAGAAGAATTAGAGAAGCTCGAAGAGAATACCAATTCTTAACGAGGAAATTAATCAGTAAAGGAGTGAACTTCAGATGGTTGATCCCAGAAGGACTATTAATTTTTGGGACACAAAAAGATATAGATTGAACACCCCACAACAAGCAGAGGACTTCTTTAATAATCATAGAGACTTCTTGGAGAGAGGTGAGGCAGAACCTAAGAAATCAGAGGAAACGACTGCAGGAACATCGAAACAAATGGAGGAAGAAGCACCTAAAAAGAATCAACCAGAGGAAGATGTGAGACCTAAAGATCAGAGACAGATAAGCTCTCCTAGAAAATTGAGATCTCGACACAGCTGAAACTATGGAGGAAATTCGAATTCTTTCAATAAATATAAATGGTCTTAACTCCATCAAAAAGGAGTAAAATATTTCATAGACTACAAAAACTAAAAATGAATATAATTTGTCTCTAGAAGACACACATTAAATTACAACATTCTAGAATACTTGAACAATCAAAACTTGGTAAACTTTATTTTTTCTTGATATCACAAAAGAAAAGAGGGATAGCTCTATATGTAAAAGAAAAGAGGAATCCAAAACAAATTTATGCTGATGAAGAGGGAAGAATACTGATGGTCGGGATTACAGTACATGGAATCAAAAAAAAATATTGATGGTTGCGATATATGCTCTCAGTGAGAAGCAAGATCAATTTTTTCAGCAATTATATGATAAACTGGTGGACTTAAATTACCATAGCTTGTGTATACTTGGAGACTTTAATGCAATTGTTGATCCAGTATGGGATTATAAAAGTTATAAACAGGAGAAAAAAGGAAGTAATATTCTACCTAAATCCTTTCTAAGAATGAAAGATGAACTTTGTATACAGGACATTTGGAGAGAGATGTACCCGGAAAAAGCACAATATACTTTTTATTCTAGTAGACATAATCGTGGTCAAGAATTGACATGATATGGACTTCTTTGGACTTAAAGGCCATGATACAAGAAATTGAAATAGAACCTAACATTTGGGCAGACCATAATTCAATGAAAATGACCTGGAAAGGACTTAAGAAAAGACCGAGATGGTCCTTGAATAAATCAATATTGAAAGAAAATGAGTTTTTACAATTTGCAATAAAAGAAATGGAATTCTTTTTTAAAGTCAATAAAAAAGAAGAAACCTCTATTCAAATTGTATGGGACATGGCAAAAGCATATTTTAGAGGTTTGGCCATAACTTATCTTGCTAAAAAGATTAAGGAAAAGAAACTTGCTCAACATAGATTGAAAGAACAACTTAGTATGTTGGAAGCTGAATTACAATCAGACCCTCAAAAGAAAAAGTTGAAAATACAAATGGAACTATTAAAACATAAGTTAAACTTACATGAGACAAATACAGTACAATGGCGCAACAGATTAAAAGGTCCAAACAGAATTTTTTGGAAAATGCCAATAAACCTGGGAATGGCTGGCATATAGATTAAAAAAAGAAAGAGAAAAAAGATTAATAAGTAAGCTACGGGATACGGATGGTGACCTACAGTGTCACAATGACTTAATGAAAAAAATTACGAAGGAGTATTATGAGACACTTTATAAGGTGGAGACAGTTTCTAAAGATGTAATTCAGGCTTATTTAAAAGAAGCAAATCTCCCAAAGGTTCCTGAGAATATGTGTTAGAGGTTAAACGAGAATGTTTCAATGATGGAGATTATAGAGGCAATAAGAAAGCAAAAGAAAGATAAAACACCAGGACCTAATGATCTTCCTGCTGAATTCTATGTAGCGTTACAAGATACTATAACTCCAACTTTGAAAGACGTATGTAATGACAAAAATACCAGATTCATGGACTGAAGCTAATATTACTTTGATACCTAAGAAGATACTGGTCATTCACTAATTAAAAATTACAGACCAATATCGCTACTAAATGTGGATTACAAAATCTTTGCTGCAATAATGGCAGAAAGAATGAAAAACTTTTTGAATGAATTTATACACTAAGACCAAAATAATTTCCTACCAAAAAGACAGATAAAGAACAACTTGAGGATTATTTTAAACATCTTGGAGTACTATGAAATCCATCCAGGGAACCAGATGGCACTTATATTCCTTGATGCACAAAAAGCCTTTGATAACTTAAATTGGCAATTTATGTTTCAACAACTTCAAGAAATGGATTTTGGTGAAAATTTTAATACAGCAATTCAAGCAATTTATAAGAAACAAACAGCAAGAATACTTTTAAATGGAGATTACACAGATGTATTTGAGATTTAAAAAGGCACTAGACAGGGATGTCCGTTGTCTCCTCTGTTGTTTATTCTTACATTAGAGGTTCTGGCAAGAAGTATCAGACAAGATACAGAAATTAAAGGTCTGGAGATTAAAGACCAGAAATATAAACTACAGGCCTTTGCGGATGACTTGGTCTTCATTCTAGAGGAGCCATTGCAAACAGCTGATAAACTCTTGCAGAAAATTGAGAAATTTGGAGAAGTGGCTGGTCTGAAAATAAACAGGGAAAAGACTAAAGTAATAACAAAAAATTTAACAGACAAACAAAAAATTCAACTCGCTAAAATGACAAATCTTCAAATAGTTAAAAAAGTCAAATATTTGGGTATTTATTTAACGGCGAAATATACTACACTAAAAGAAGATAATTATGAGAGATTAATGAAACAAATAAAAATAGACTTGGAAAGATGGGAAAATCTTCAATTATCACTTCTAGGAAGAATAGCGACGGTTAAGATGAACATTCTACCAAAGCTAATTTTCCTATTTCAAACAGTGCCTATTAAACTTACTAAGAATTTTTTTGACGATTTAAATGCAATGATTTTAAGATTTATATGGCAAAAAAAGAAAGTGAGAATCAAATGTAAATTGTTACAAGAATCTAAGGATAGAGGGGGCTTTGGACTTCCAGATTGGAGACTTTACTATCAAGCAGCTATTTTGCTTTGTCTTAAAGAATGGATTGTATTGAGAAATAAAAGATTGCTTTATTTAGAGGAACATGACCTTCAGTTAGGTTGGCATGCTTTTATATGGTAACGAGAAATCTAAAGCACATAAGTACTTTCAAAATCATGCGATAAGAAATGTACTACTTTCAGAATGGGAGAAAATTAAACATAATATATATATGAAAATACCTGAGTGGCTTTCAACAATGGAAGCATTTGCTTATCCAAATCTGATTAATTATGACAAACTGGTTAGTTATAAAAACATTTTAGACAAAGAGGGAAAACTTAAGGACAGGCAAACTTTACAACTACAAGGTATTGACTTGACATGGTGGTCTTATTTGCAAATTCAAACAAGATACGAAAAAGATATAAAATCGACAGGTTTTTACAAAGAACAGAACCCATTAGATAAAATCTTGTTAAAAACAGATGAGAATTTGATTAGAAAACTCTATAAATTTCTTTTAAACTGGAAGATGGAAGAAGAACAAGTGAATGAAACAATGATAGTATGGGCAAAGAACTTTGGACATTCTATAGATTTGGAAGACTGGCAAAAACTTTGGGATAAAAATATTAAGCTTACAAAAGCGGTAGCATATAAAGAAAATTTATATAAGATGTTTTATAGATGGCATATGACACCAGTTCGCTTAGCGAAAATGTTTAAAAATGTTTTGGATATTTGCTGGAAATGTAAACAACAGCCAGGCACTTATTACCATGCCTAGTGGATATGCCCTATCATTAAGAAATATTGGTCTAAGATCCATAGATGGTTGGAAAAGATGATGAAACTACAGATAGAATTGTTTTTGTTAGGAATATTAAGACCTAATTATGGTAAAGAGAATGACTACTTGATATTGCATGTTTTAACAGCAGCAAGGATAGTATTTGCCCGATTTTGGAAAAATGAGAATTTACCATCTGACCAGATTATAATTACTAAAATTGTACACTGTGCAGAAATGGATAGACTAACATTAAAAATGAAAGAAAAAGATGATTCAATTTATTTTAGAACTTGGGAAAAATTTTATCAATGGTTAGAGACAAGTTAGAACTTGAAGGATTCAATATTTTAGAATAGATGACTGATTTTTAATTGAGTTCTAACTAGCATTTTGATGAAATGATTATTTTTCCTGATTTACTGATTTTCAGTACTTTTGATTGTTAGGATTTTTTGAGATTTTATTAGCAGTGTTTACTTAATAGATCAACGTATTTGTTTACCTATTGTTTTTAATATGTTATAGTCTAAGCTTCGGTAAAAATGGTTAAATATGATATTTACTCATTATTATGATTCGGACAGTAGCTTGTTTGTTGAAATATGTGATTGTACCTATCCTTATTTTATCCTTATTCTCTTCCCCTTCCCCTTTCCTTCCACCCCTCCCTTTACCATATCTGTATTGTTCCTATTTTTCCTTATCTATATAAACTTAATAAAATTTTGTTAAAAAAAAAGATTATTAGGAAGGTTTTATTGTAGAGCTAAGTTTATTGGTTTTTCTTTCCCAAACCTTACAGCAATTGAAGGGGAAGATATTAGTGAAGGGGAAAAAACTATCAGAGAACAAGACTGATCCAAGAGTTTACTTGATCTCCAATCGTGAGGAAGAAATGCAGGAGGAAGAAGATCAGAGGGTGAGGTTTAGATCCGTGTTTCTGAAGGGGTAATTAAGAGAGTATTAGGGAAACCTCTAAGGTGGATATTCTGTAAAAGCAAACCAATACAATTCAGTGTCAAGAATGCAGCTGAAGTAGGACTGCTGAAAAGAAGGTGCAAGTAGAGTTCTCTGGGTCCCAAGATAAACTTCTCAAATGGGACAGACTTTAAACGTATCTCAACTTCCTTGCTTACATCTAACTGTTATCTGGATTTTTGCAGTCCAGATATTGTATCATGTAGCCAAATGTGTCAAAAGCATAAGGTAAAGAATGATCCTTTTAGGGAAACTCAACAGCCCCCTTCCCCCTCAAAAAAACCTCAATGCTGCAGTTCTAAGATCACTGTCTCCCTGCATTTGCTATATTTATGCTATTGAGAAAGAAGGAGGCTACAAAAGTACTGAATATTCTTAGTGGAGATTCACAAACATCTTTTCTTCCCCCTGCCCCCACAAATAGCTCAATAAAAATCAAGCATGATTTATAGCCAGAGAGTGATGAGGAACAGAAAGCTCACAATTGGGTGAGATAGAAAGGAATACCCAGAAGAAATCAGGCTGGAGTTCTTAACAGAGCACTACAACAAATTAGACATTTCACTCTTGTTTCTTTGGAAGAGTTTATGTCATCAGATGAGGGTATCTGTCAACGCTGTTAATATAGGATATTATTGCTTTAACAAGATATGCAGAACTGTCTGGTATTTTTAGGGTTAATTCAGATGACAGAGAAAGGGAGGAGATTTATAAGGAAAGCCCGGGAAAAGGAACGGAAGTGAATCTTTGCCCTCTGGGCTAATTGGAAGATGTGACTTATGACTGCAAAATAAGGGAGGGGTTTAGCAAGAAAAGTTAGACGTAAGCAAGAGAAATTCAGATTCTGGCATCCATCCATGACGTGCTGTCATTCTGTTACACTGTTAATAAATGCTTTTAGGATAAACAAGGCCTGGAAGTTCTTTGAAGTGTTTCATTAGTCGGAACCATGACATCATGCCAGAATCTAAAACCTTTTCAAACAACTGGGGATGCATTACCCCCACCTCTTTCTCCTAGGCTGGAGTGAGAGTAACAGAGTTCAGGAGGAGGATAATCTATCATAATAAACGGGAGTTTGTTGAATACAGCCCGGCAGCTGCTGATATCCCAAAGGGAGAAGTAACAAACAGCATGCTGTGGGAAGATGAATTTTGGCAGACAAATGCAGGTCGGTGGACAGAGAATGGACAAACTGCCACTCAAAGCCTGGGTGAGTTACTGGAAATATTTCAAACCCCAGAGGAGAGAGACAGAAATCCACTCCTGCAGAGGAAAGCTTGCAGCCCCTCCATTGCAGATCAGAAAGCCTTTCAGATCCTGTCTTCCCCTGCCAGGGACTCCAACCCTGAAGAAAGAGGGAATCCCAGTCTGAGGCCTCTGCAGTAATGGGAAGTTTGGCAAACCCAGCAGGCAGATGTTCCACGACCTCTGAACTTGCCACAGCTAATAGAGGCCTTGAAACAGCTTGGGGTGGTACAGAAGCCAGGAGATCAGCAGCTGGTGGGAGAACGGCCACAGCAAGGAGATTGGCCACAGCCCCCAAACGTGCAACCCCTGGGCATAAATCTGCAGCCAGGATGGGGCCAGCATTAAGGAGATTGGCCATAGCCCCCAAACGTGCAACCCCTGGGCACAAATCTGCAGCCAGGATGGGGCCAGCACCAACAGCTACTGTAGGGGCCCCAACAGCCTATAATTGCACCACTTTTCAGAGCAACCTTCGATGGGGACTCAGAGAAGCTGTTTTTTTTTTTCCTCAATCAAGTGCGCTCTCATTTGAATTGTTGGGCCTATCTCTACCCAGACCCAGGGGCCATGGTGGATGTGATTGCGTCCAATCTAGAGGGAGAAGCGTCCAAATGGCTGAACAATTTATACAATGAGCAAGCCCCCGAATTGGAGAACCCCCACCTTTTCCTCCTAGGGCTGAGAGAAAGATTTGAGGACCCATCTATTGCTCTTAAAGCAGGAAAACAAATCCACAAAATAAAACAAACCGGCAGGCCTGTCCTGGTGTACGTGTGAGAGTTTCGCAAGATAGCAGGTCGAATAGAGGCGTGGCCACAGCAGTCCCTAATCCATCACTTCATTGAGGGATTAGACGATCGCCTCCCTCAGGCCTGCATCTATCGAGCAGTACCTGATCAGCTGCAAGAATGGTACCAGGCAGCGGTGAAGCTAGACGTTCAGCTCGCCCGCTATAAGAAGCCTCCCCCACCTGAATCTGAGCAGCAGCCAGAGCAACCCAAACAACAATCACCCCCACAAAACCCTCCGACTACTGCAATGGCTGAAAGACTCAGGCCACCTGCAGGCCCATCAATTAAGTGTTCCTAGTGCGGACAGAAGGGACATCGAGCAGCAAACTGTGCGGTCCGCTACCCCCGACTGCAGAGCACATCGGAACCAGTGGCGAGAAGGAAACCTTATCGGGGCTCCACTTTAAGATCTCCCCCGAAGAAGGCACCTGGGCCCCTTGTAGTTGCGGGACAGACCCACTATGAAGTGAAACGTATTCTTGACTCTAGAATTTTTAAAGAGAAATTGTAGTACCTAGTACAATGGAAGGGATACCCGTTGTCTGAAGTCACCTGGGTGAAATCCAGTGAAGTGAAAGCTGACAAGCTCGTCAAAAGGTTTCATGTGAAATACCCCAACAAACTGAAAACTAGTCATTAACATATGCTTTTGTTTTCATTATAGGATCTGTCCTTTTTGTAAGGGGGGCCGGATGTCAATGCTGTTAATATAGGATATTATTGCTTTGACAAGATATGCAGAACTGTCTGGTATTTTTAGAGTTAAATCAGATGACAGAGAAAGGGAGGAGATTTATAAGGAAAGCCTGGGAAAAGGAACGGAAGTGAATCTTTGCCCTCCGGGCTAATTGGAAGATGTGACTTCTGACTGCAAAATAAGGGAAGGGTTTAGCAAGAAAAGTTAGACGAAAGCAAGAGAAATTCAGATTCTGGCATTCATCCATGACGTGCCGTCAATCTGTTACACTGTTAATAAATGTTTTTAGGATAAACAAGGCCTGGAAGTTCTTTGAAGTGTTTCATTAGTTGGAACCATGACTACACTACAACAAATTAGACATTTCACTCTTGTTTCTTTGGAAGAGTTTATGTCATCAAATGAGGGCATCATTTCTTCTGAATTAAAATGGAAAATTGGGGTCTTCTGCCCAATTTTTCCTTTTAAAAATGTTAGAGCTGAATATAAATGGGGTAGTCAGCTGCAAGCCAAAAAACAACCATCATCATCTCAGGTTAAACAGCTTCTGTACATTTAAAGTATTCTTTCACTTAGGACTTTTCTGTAATTCAATGGTCCTTGTTTTCCTAAAATAGAGAAAATAGTAAAAAAACCTTCCTTTTGGGCAAAGTCTACATTAAATGCTTCAAACTGGGGACTGCTAGCAAAATGCATCAGTTCCGATGATTCTTTGGAGTGTTTGTATGTATAGGACAATATGTGCCAGTGATGGGTAAACTTTTTGAAAAAGATAATATATGTTTGTAATAGTGAGTTGACTGTTGACTAGCAAAAGAGTCTTTCTTTCATACAATGTCTACTTTATTTTTGGAATGCAGTGCCAAATTTGTGACTAAATAAAGAGCAAAAAGGACAAGTAGAGAGAGAATAAATCTAATAAGAAATTATTAAGTTATGATAGCTGTATGGAAGCAAGATCAGAGGTTAAAACTATATTAATAAAATGTCCTGGGAACAAACCTGAGGAGATGCCTTCATGCTTTTTAGTTGTCTTCCAGAAGCATCTGATTGACTGTTGTAGGAAGCAAGATCCTGCATTATTAGTAAAATCCAATAAAATTGCTTAAACTCTTCCTCTAGAAAATATAACTAAATGTAATTTTATACACACAGAGATCTTTTAATTTCTGTTTCTGCTTCTTTCTTCAGTTTACATCTTCTTTCCAGGAAATCAGACCTTTGCAAGTAAGTATTCCTTCCTTCTTGGAAGAATCCCAACATAGCTGGTAAGTGTGACGAGCAAGCAAGCAATATAGTCTCTTACCTATCCATACTCAAATGTAGCCAAATTTGAGGGTATCTTATTCATCTTGGTTGATGATTAAAATATTGTGATAAAACAAGTGAAGAGAAAACTGTCTTCTTCCTTGAAACCCTTTGTTGATGACCGTTCCAAGTGTAGAGGGATAGGTGTTCTATAAAGATCATAACATAACCATGCTGAAAGAAAATAGTCCAGGGAAAGAGAGGTGCTATTTTCACAGGATGCTATGCCCTACAAACATAATATCCACAATTGCTTTTAACTGCTTTTCATGATGATGTCATCATATGCCACTGCAAGAGCATTTGCTGGTAAGGGAAGTTTAACATCCAATTCAGGACCCAGGAATTTCATTCTTTGTGCTAAAAGGGGCATGCCAACTGCTGCTGTGCTACAGTGTCACCACTACAGATAGGTTGGTGTTGGACCAAGAAGTAGTATCTTCAAAAGACCTCATCTTTGTGGTAAATACATCCTTGCATGATGACTTAATAATGCAGCCTTATGAAAAAAAAAAGAGGAAGATTCTTTCAAGTTGAACCTTACTTTTGGTTCTCTCAGCTGTGTAGCTTATGTGTTGGTTCTACAGAAATTTTCATTTTTCAGATTTTTCTGAGATTTTTTGGTCTCCTGGGCAGGAAATTCCCAGTCTCCTGACCAAATATATTTGGGACCACTCTGCTTAGTTTCTGAGATCTGTCAAAAATTGGCTAAATACTGTACTGCCACTGAGGCAAACCTATGTAAGTAAGTCCACATATGATTTAGCTAGATTTTCTAACCCCTGAAAGAGATCCCTAACGTTTTGAGCACCAGGGACTGGTTCTGTGGAGAGAGTTTTTTTCGTGGACTGGAGGGGGTGTGGTTTTGCGTGCTGTCTGCATCCTGCGGATGGGGCTTTGTTTGTTTGCATGGACCAGTTTCTGGCATGCCGCAAACCGGTGCCGGTCCATGGACCAAGGGTTGGGGACCCTGACCTACAGGATCCATGGTATGGCCCAGCAATAGCATTAGTGAAGGGGGGGGGACTTTCAACTTACAAAACTTTCCTCTCTAGTTGACTGAAACATATTATTAGACTCTACTTAACAGTACCAAACTAGTAGCTATTGGCAAGCCTGAATTAATTTGTTTGCAAAGTAGGATGTGTTACCTGAAGTGGATTTTTAAATTCATTAAATTAAAATTAAATTAATTTTTTGCATATGGCACTTCTTCAGGCAAAGGATGTTGTGCAGATTTCCCGAGAACTCTCTGATGTGGTTGTATATTGCCGGGCTGTTCCATTCCAAAACCTTTCTGATGCTCTGCTCCAGCAGAAGCCTGCAGAAATGTCATCATTTAGTGAGCGGAAAGCCAGGAAGCTGATCAAAGATTCAGGTATGGGAGATTGATTTCTTTGGGATGCCAAGGGCTCTATGATATGCCAACTTGCTTTGTGGCTTGGTCTGGCTCAAATCTTTTCCAGCTGGTTGCTTAAAGTATAATTGAGTCTTTTAAGGGTACAGTATAACCCTGGACATTATTGATTGTGATAAAACAAGAGAGAACAATAGCTTTCTTCATACATAACACTAACTTTTAACCCCAGAGGTGTTTTTTCAAAAGGCAACTGGACTTTCTTTGTTTTTCCTTGAAGACGTTTTGCTTCTTAGCCAAGCTTCTTGATTAAGAAGAGAAATGTCATCAGGCTTCTTGGATGAGAAGCAAAATGTCTTCCAGGAAAAACAAAGATAGTCCAGTTGCCTTTTGAAAAAGCACCTTTGGGACAACCACGATCTGAATGGCTTAGAATCTCCATAGATTAACTTCTAATGTGGTTAATTTGTTTTGGATATAGCATGAAATGTGAAATTATGTATTATGGCTTTGGATTACTGCCTTGTCGTGGCGAAGGGGCTTGTGTAACTTAGTGAAGCTATAAGCTATGCCGTGCAGGGCCACCCAAGACGGACAGGTCATAGCAGAGAGTTCTGACAAAATGTGATCCACTGGAGAAGGAAATGGCAAACCACTCCAGTATCTTTGCCATGAAAACCCCATGGACAGTACTAAAAGGAAAAAAGATATGACGCTGGAAGATGAGCCCCTCAGATTGGAAGGTGTCCAATATGCTACTGGGGAAGAGCAGAGGGCTAGTACTAGTAGCGCCAGAAAGAATGAAGCGACTGGGCCAAAGCCGAAAGGACGCTCAGCTGTGGATATATCTGGTGGTGAAAGGAAAGTCCAATGCTGTAAAGATTTTTTCTTCATAGGAACCTGGAATGTAAGATCCATGAATCAAGGCAAGCTAGACGTAGTCAAAAAAGAGATGACAAGACTGAACATCGACATCTTAGGAATCAGCGAACTAAAATGGACAGGAATGGGTGAATTTAACTCAGATGACCATCAGGTATACTACTGTGGGCAAGAATCCCTCAGAAGAAATGGAGTAGCCTTCATAGTCAATAAAAGAATAGGAAAAGCAATACTGGGATACAATCCCCAAAATGACAGAATGATCTCAATTCGAATCCAAGGCAAACCATTCAATATCACAATAGTCCAAATCTATGCCCCAACCACTGGTGCTGAAGATGATGAAATTGACCGGTTCTATGAAGCCCTACAGCACCTTATAGAATTAACACCAAAAAATGATGTCCTTATCAACATGGGGGATTGGAATGCTAAGGTAGGAAGCCAAAAGATAACCGGAATAACAGGCAAGTTTGGCCTTGGAGTACAATATGAAGCAGGGCACAGGCTGATAGAATTTTGTCAAGAGAATACAATGGTCATAACAAACACTCTTTTCCAACAACCCAAGAGACGGCTCTACACATGGACATCATCAGACGGTCAACATAGAAATCAGATTGACTATGTGCTCTGCAGCCAAAGATGGAGAAGCTCTATACAGTCAGTAAAAACAAGACCAGGAGCTGACTGTGGCTCAGATCATGAGCTTCTCGTTGCAAAATTTAGGCTTAAATTGAAAAAAGTAGGGAAAAGCACTAGGCCACTCAGGTATGAACTAAATCATATTCCTAATGAATATACAGTAGAGGTGACAAATAGATTTAAGGAATTAGATCTGATAGACAGAGTGCCTGAAGAACTATGGATGGAAGTTCGCAACATTGTACAAGAGGTAGCAACTAAAACCATCCCAAAGAAAAAGAAATGCAAGAAAGCAAAATGGCTGTCTGAGGAAGCTTTGCAAATAGCTGAGGAAAGAAGGGAAGAGAAAGGCAAAGGAGAAAGAGAAAGATACACCCAATTGAATGGAGAATTCCAGAGAATAGCTAGAAGAGATAAGAATGCCTTCTTAAATGAACAGTGCAAAGAAATAGAAGAAGACAACAGAATAGGGAGGACCAGAGCTCTCTTCAAGAAAATTGGAGATATGAAGGGAACGTTTCATGCAAAGATGGGCATGATAAAGGACCAAAATGGCAGGGACCTAACAGAGGCAGAAGAGATTAAGAAGAGATGGCAAAACTACACAGAAGAACTATACAAGAATGAGCTTAACATCCCAGATAACCACAATGAGATGGTCACTGACCTCGAACCAGACATCCTAGAATGTGAAGTGAAATGGGCCTTAGAAAATCTGAGCAACAACAAAGCTAGTGGAGGTGACAGTATTCCAGCTGAGCTATTCAAAATCTTAAAAGACGATGCAGTAAAAGTGCTACACTCAATTTGCCAGCAAATTTGGAAAACTCAACAGTGGCCACAGGATTGGAAAAGGTCAGTTTACATTCCAATTCCAAAGAAAGGCAACGCCAAAGAATGTTCAAACTATCGCACCATTGCACTCATTTCACATGCTAGTAAAGTTATGCTTAAAATCCTACAAGCTAGACTCCAGCAGTATGTAGATCGAGAACTACCAGAAGTACAGGCAGGATTTCGAAGAGGCAGAGGAACTAGAGATCAAATTGCCAACATATGCTGGATCATGGAGAAAGCTAGGGAGTTCCAGAAAAACATCTACTTCTGCTTCATTGATTATGCTAAAGCCTTTGATTGTGTGGATCACAACAAATTGTGGCAAGTTCTTAAAGAGATGGGAGTACCAGACCATCTCATGTGTCTCTTGAGAAACTTATATGCGGGTCAAGAAGCAACAGTGAGAACTGGACACGGAACCACTGATTGGTTCAAAATTGGAAAAGGAGTCCGGCAAGGCTGTATACTGTCGCCCGGCCTATTTAACTTATATGCAGAGCACATCATGAGAAAGGCAGGGCTAGATGAATCAAAAGTTGGAATTAAGATTGCCGGGAGAAATATCAACAACCTAAAATATGCAGATGATACCACTCTAATGGCAGAAAGTGAAGAGGAACTAAAGAGCCTCTTGATGCGGGTGAAGAAGGAGATTGCAAAAGTTGGCTTGAAACTCAACATTAAGAAAACCAAAATCATGGCATCCGGCCCTCTCAATTCCTGGCAAATAGATGGGGAAGAAATGGAGGTAGTGACAGATTTTATTTTTCTGGGCTCCAAGATCAGCTCAGGTGGGGACTGTAGCCAAGAAATTAAAAGACGCTTGCTCCTGGGGAGGAAAGCTATGGCAAATCTAGACAGCATACTAAAAAGCAGAGACATCACCCTGCCAACAAAAGTGCGTATAGTCCAGGCCATGGTTTTCCCAGTTGCAATTTATGGCTGTGAAAGTTGGACCATAAGAAAGGCTGAGCGCAAAAGAATTGAGGCCTTTGAACTATGGTGCTGGAGAAGACTCTTGCGAGTCCCTTGGACTGCAAGGCGTTCAAACCGGTCAGTCCTAGAAGAGATCAACCCCGACTGCTCTTAGAAGGCCAGATCCTGAAGTTGAAACTCAAATACTTTGGCCACCTAATGAGAAGGAAGGACTCACTGGAGAAGGACCTAATGCTGGGAAAGATTGAGGGCAATAGAAGAAGGGGACGACAGAGAATGAGATGGCTGGATGGAGTCACTGAAGCAGTAGGTGTGAACTTAAATGTACTCCAGAAGATGGTAGAGGACAGGAAGACCTGGAGGAACATTGTCCATGGGGTCGCGATGGGTTGGACACGACTTCGCAATTAACAACAACAACAATAGTGACATAGGCTATTATACCTTGTTCATCACACCACATTTTTTTTTTAAAAATCTTACCATAACATGATCTGTGAACCAGACTTAAAGGTAGTGATTAGGAGTATAGCTAATACACATATTCTGCAATCCATAGACACAAACACACACACACAAACAAACATACTTTTTTGTAAAAGCTGTAGAAAGTAGGTGAACATATTACAAAATTCTTGACCTCCAGGCTAGTCTTATAGGTAGTCAGGTTTTAGAGACTGAGAAGGAGTGCAGGAATATAATCTGCAATATTGTAATAAGATATCCCAGTGCTCAAAAACATTCTATCTGGCAGAATATAGATATGTGAGTCAAGCAGGACAAGACTGATCAATTTATTCATGACCTTGTGTTGTAGCCAGTTCCAGTTGGGATAGGCATACAGGTAGTTCTTATTAAACGTCCACTCATTCAACAACAATTTGAAGTTATTTTTTAATTTATTCTTTTATTGATTTTGAAATAGAAAAAAAATGAAAAAAGAACAAAAAACAAAAACAAAAATATATACATTGTCAAAGAACAAAGCAAAAAGTGTATTTCTTAAAAAAAATGAAGTAAAATGCAACAAAAATGCATTTATTATTGAAAACGTGTAAATGTTTAATACATTTATATAACTATCCTTTTTATAACCTGCTTTGTACAAATGAGTTCCATATTCCAGGGCTTTTCAACCTTTTTACCCATTGTACCACTTTTAGGATATGGCAATATCCGAGTACCACCAGTTGCCTAGCAAGGTGTCAAAAACTTGATGACCCCCCCAAAAAAGAAAAAAGTGATAAAGTATAGGTAGTCCTCAACTTACAACAGTTCGCTTAGTGACTGTTCGAAGTTACAATGGCACTGAAAAAAGTGCCCCCAAGGCACAGCCGAGCAAGACACCTGCCTGCCCACCCGGCGGTGCTCTTCCTCCTGTCTGAGGTTTTCATTATTGTGAGCATTTCTGTTGAGGATTGGAAGTGGGGATGGGGGGGGGGGTGTTTGGTTTTTATTCTCCCCATCTGCTGGGTGGTTGCAGCAGGTTTTGGTCACTTCACATGACCCTGGGACACTGTGACCGTCATAAATATGAATCAGTTGCCAAGCATCTGAATGTAAATCACAAGACCCTGGAGATGCTGCAACATTCCAGCTGATTGGCACTTCTGGGCTCAGCAGAAGTGCCAGGATCAGCGCCGAGCTCCAGCTGGAGCCTGGTGCTTAGCCCTGACAGCCCTGCAGCTCCAGCCAACACTCAGGCTTGTGCAGTGCTACCACCAGTTCACCTCATTCCCCTCCCCTGCTACCACTTTTTAGGATGGTCACGTACCACCTGCCAGGTGCCAATGTATCACAAGTGGTACCCGTACCACTGTTCAAAAGCCCTGCCATATTCCATTATATTTGTATGTACATAGTGGCAAGTACAATAATTTACCTACAGACAATCTGCTAATAGATCACAAGTGCAATCTGGTCCTTGTCTACTGAGTAAAAGGGACTATTTATTTATCTTTCCAATACTTCAATATCAGTATTTTGCTAAAGTAAGAGCATGGAGAATCCATTTATGTTGTCCATTTATCAAATTTCAAGACTAAGTATGTAATTCAGAAGAATATTATTTCCTGAAAATGTTAGCTTTGTCACACAGTTACATTTATATAGTCCACCACTTCCTCCCAAAACCTAGTATGTAAAGGACATTGTAGAAACATCTGTTTTAAAACAACATTATCCTTACTACATCTTCAATAAATGCTGGCCTAGGCAATCCTTTTCTATATAGATGTAAAGGAGTTTAAGTATTATTTTTGTTGTTGTATAAATTATAGTATAAGATCCATTGACACTGGTGATATGGAGGTTAAAACACCATTCCATTATCTAAGCAATATAGGAACGTCTAATTTTTTATTCCAATCATTTCTTAGCATATGAATATCAAAATGATTTCTTGATAACCAATATCTATAGAAAGTATAGGGTTTTTTTTAGTTTAAAGAACTTAACAAGTTGCTCTATATCTTGGGTGTTTCAGAAGCTGAGAATACTGCTAGTCCAAACAATGTTGTTAGCAAGTGTTATAACTGTAAATATTTCTGTTGGGTATATCAGTGATGGAGAAACTTTTAGAGACCGAGTACCCAAAAACTGCCCCTGCCCCCACTCCATCCCCTGCCCCGCCCCCACCCCGCCTGCCCACAGGGCCACTCACCACCTCCAGGGCCCACCACAGATCACCCAAGCAGCCCAGCAGTGCCGTGATGGCCATGCCCTCTGCCCGCACCCTACAGCATCAACTGTGCACAATGGGGAATGAGGGCAGAGTCTTGTCTACGCTGCCTGGCTGCCTGGCTGAGCTGCTCCGCGTGGGCCACACTCAGGGGCAACTCTCCTCCAGGGGGCTGCTGGTGAGGTGGGGGTTGCAAGGGGAGACAAGGCTGGGGCAACGAAACATGTGCCCACAGAGAGGGCTCCGAGTGCCACCTCTGGCACCTGTGCCATAGGTTCACCACCACTGGGCTATATCATATAGATGATATTTGTTTCTTAACACACAATATGATAAAAATCCACTCACATCATTTATCATTTGATCCAAGGTCAATATCCTCATTTCCATTCAATTTTTCCATATCATCTTCTTTTTTTCAATTTGTAAGTTGGGTTTCTTCATAAAGTTAATTTAACATGGGGAAAAAGGGTTGAACTTTTATTAGACATTCCATTCCATAGTTTTCTAATTGAGATAATTATTTCCAGAGATACTAGAATTTTAGTATCCAACCAGCAATGTTACATTCTATATGTATATTCCATAGTTGCCTACCTCTGAAAATTAATATCAATTGTTGGCTTCCAATATTTAATACTTGACAAAGGTAAACATGATGGGTTCCAGGTTAGGAAGACCAAGTCTTCCCTCATTAATTGGTAATTGTATTTTCTGTAAAGATATTCGCATAATCGAAGAACTCCCACAGAGATTTTCTAAACCAAGAATTTATTTTATTATATACTATATTTTATTTTATTATATACTATTTATCAATATCTGAAACTTCACTATATATTCTATTTATAATTTTTTATTATTGATTCAAAACATTTATATAGCTGCCCATCTTATAACCAATTCTAGGTGGTTCTTAATCAAAAATTAAAACAGCATAAAAGCAGCATTAAAACTATAAAAACTATAAAAATAAAAACCTGGAACTGGGTCAAACTTTTGATGTGCAGTCACCTCATCTTATCCCAGCACTTGAGATAAAAGCCAGCTTTAAAGCTTTATGGAAGGCTAAAAGTATGGAGACCTGCCAAACATCTAAGGCGAAGAGTGTTCTATAAGGTAGGAGCTGCCACAGAAAAGACGGGCTTCCTAGCTACCATCAGGGGATATTTGGAGGAAAATATTCAAGGGAGTATCTGACTTGGAGTGGCAGATGTTAGGAGAGCTCTAACGTTTGGTGTTCATATGCCTAGATAATTAATGTATTTGGTACAAATACAGAATTAATATTCCTTAGTTATTAAGTATTAATATTATTTAAATGGATGGGTATTTTTCATCTATTTTCACCTATAGGCATCACTTCTAATTTGGACCAGTTCTTAGAGTAACTTACTATTTTGCTAAAGTCTTTTGCATCAACATTGGGATAGCAGTACAAGGTTTACAAATTTCTTTTAAATAAGAATGTCATCTGCAATAATACCAGTTCTTTTTTTTATTAAAAGTTTTATAAATATATTACAATATAAACCTCCCCACCCCATCCCCCCTCCCCCACTTCCCAGAGCTGATTACAGGGTAAAACAAATTAATAAACAAATGTAATCCAACTAACATAAACCAACTATACTATTAATCAAAACCATAAGACACTTTAACTCCTTCTCAATACAAATATTAACAAATTAAGTCAAAAATGATAATATAATTAAAACTATTAATAATTATCTAAAATCTACTCAAAAGCAAAATAATACCAGTTCTTGTACAGCAACCATCTGAACCATACGATGGTTCTGAATGAGGGGTACTTGCAATAGGTCTTTGTAATTGCAGCTGATGCAGTGTCTCTGTGGATATGTGATCTCGATCTTGGCAACCAGCACTCCATTACAATGTTGCAATGTCCTATGGTAATGAAATTGGTATTTGCCACCTTTGTTGCTAGCTTTCAATAAGCAAAGTCATTGGGGAAGCCAGCAGTAGGTCACCAATGGTGATCATATGGCCATGGGATGCTGTGACCATGTGGGATTTGCTTAATAACTGCAATTGGGAATGCTGGAACTGCCATCATAAGTTGTCATGGTGATGTGACATCTCACTTTATGACCACTTTGCTTAGCAACAGAGTTCCTGGTCCCAATTATCACTGATAAGTGAGATCTATCTGTAGTATTCCATCATTGTTAGGTGCATAGAAATCAACAGCAGGACCACTGCCTCTTTCCTTCTTTTTGGTCTAAGGCTGGAAGTTTCTTTCCTTTCTGCAGGAAATCTTTTTGTCCGATACAACACCCGGTACCTCAGCCGTATCTACCCACTGGGTCTGAAGATGAACTCCTCCAACTACAACCCTCAAGAGATGTGGAATGTTGGCTGCCAGATTGGTAAGAGCAAAGAGAAGGCGTAATCCATGCCGTGAACTTCATTCCTAGTCACCTTCTCTCTCCCAGTCACTCTCTGTTGGACTTGCTTTGATTTTACAAGTGAATCATAAATTGGAGGAACATTACCCACAACCTCAATAACTGAGAAGGAGAGATGGGTACTTCCCAGTAACTTGGAATCTTCAAACCTAGTCATCCTTGCTTTACCCTGAAAAATGAAAGTGGCTTGCGAGAGAAGCAGGGTTGAGGATGAGCAGTTTGGAAGGAGCTCAGTCCATGATTGAGTGGCAGCTTACTCAGACTACAAAGGCAGACCACAACTGTGTTATTGTGGAACTCTGTCCTCCTTATGTTAACTAATCCCTTTGGCTGTGCAGCAGCAGCACTGCAGAGTAACAGAGGCCAAGCCTGTAGCCACATTATCTAGTGACCAATGAGAATATCATGGATCATTTGGTGCATCTGGAATTGTGTAGATCTTTTCATGTTATTGTTTATTCACTGGAAAAAGTTGTCTTAGGCAAAGAAAGAAGACTGTCCATTGAGCCGAATAGGATGGGCAATGGTTGTCGGCTTGAGGTCACAGAGTTGAAGAAACTGACTCTGAGATCATTTGGATTTTAAGTAGATGCTCTGCTATCTACTTGAGGTTTTAAAATAATGTGCAAAGTCAAAGCATTAAAATGTTTTGTTCCATAGTACTTTCCTTCAGCAGCCTAGATATATTTTTGAATTAAATGTAATATGCATTTCTTAGAGCAAATTAATAATCAAGAATGAAGACAAATGTATATATCCTAGGATTCTGCAAATTAATAAGGAATTAATATGAGGGAGTATATTGAATACAGATATCCTTGTCTTTATTCTTCCCAGGTCTAGTCCTATTTTATTCCTCATTATTATTTATTTATTTATTTGTTAAATTTATTTGCCACTTATCTTGTCATGAGGCTACTATAGATGGCTTACAATAATAAAAAGGAAGAGAATGAAAGGAGTGTAAAGAGAAGTAAAATAATGGAACCCAGAAAATAAACAATGAAAAAGGAACACAACGAGAATACACAAATAATGATAACCCAAATGATGAATGGGGAGAGAGAGAGAGGGAGGGAGGAAGGTGGGAGATGAAATCTGTCATCAATATAGCAGCCACCTCCAGTGTGCAATTGCTGCATTTGGTTCCCAGGCCAACTGGCAGAGCCAGGTCTTTACAGTCTTGCAGGAGAATAGGTGGGTGGGTGCAGATTTTATCTTAGGGCGTAATGTGTTCCAAAGAGTGGGTGCTGCAGCACAGAAGATTCTTCTGGATCTTGACAGAGTTTTTTGACTGATGGGATCCAAAGTAGACCCTCTCTGTTGGCACAAGTAGGATGGGCTTGTTCTAGCGGTTCATCTGGTAGCCTAGACCTATGCCATTAATGGCTCCAAACGTCATAACCACTATCTTGAACTGCACTTGGAAGCAAACCAATAGCTGGTGATGTTTGAGAAGCAGAGGTATAATCTGGGCCATCGCAGAGATCCCAAAGACTGCTATCGCTGCCACACTTTGCACTAGGTGACAGTGCTGCTTAGGTTTTTTTTTAATGTGCTGGTAGGTACAAAGTTTTATAAAAGTGCACCATGATAATATTCCAGTTTTATGACATTAATCACTTTTCTTTTTATGGTCATATTTTAGTGGCCCTGAATTTCCAGACACCAGGTGCTGAGATGGATTTGAATGATGGGCGCTTTTTGGTGAATGGCTGCTGTGGCTATGTGCTGAAACCTGCTTTCTTACGCAATAACCAGAGTAATTTTGACCCCAAGGTTCCCATTCATAGGAGTGGCCAGAACCCCATTGCCCTCACGATCAAGGTATAGTAGAATGTAAGATGCCCGTATGTTCTTTGAATTGCTTGCTATATATATTTAGGTGCATATAAATGGAAAGTTGAATGGATGGAACAGTAAACTTAACAAGAAACATCATTGTATTAATCCTATTACTTGGCTTTACAGTCATGACCATAATTAAATGTACTACCATTTCCAGGTTCGACAGAACCTGAAACATGTATACCTTTAATATAAAACACTTTTATTTAAAAGCCAAGCATAAAAGAGCTTCCAGGAGATCTTTTTTATTGTAAAGGGATACTTTACAATACTCTATTAATAGAATTTTGGAGACGAGCACCCAGATCATGCCACCTTTTTACTTGTAACAATCATTCTCTGCTTTATTACGATTTTGAACTAATATATGGTTCATAGGAGCCTAAAGCAATATGTGTGGATATTTGCTTCCCTCATTGTATCTTATAACTCTGTAAGATAGTTTGGTTGAAAACCATTTAAAAAAATTCTTTTTTTCTTCTTTTTAGAATTTTTTTCTCTTTGCTAAAAATATTAAATAAGTTTTACTATGGTTGGTGTCAGACTTCAATATTTCTGATGGAATATATTATCATGCAGCCCAGATATATATATTAAATTTGGAAAATAGCTTTGCATCATTTTCAGAGACTGCAAGACTTCTGTTTTTCTTGGAAGAGCTGTGAGCAAATAGCCCTCGTTCATTATCTGTATTGAAAATGGCATTGTGGCAAATATGTAGTTTTGCAAACCCCTTGCCAAAATTCTCTTTTCTACTGAACAATTATAAGTGTAGGAGCCCTCTCCCTTTTCTGTTTGTTTGCCTTTGGCCATTCTAGCCATAATTCAACCAATGGAAATTAATTCTGATTTTAGGATTGTACTAATTAATATATTCAGCCAATTTTGTGTACATTGTTTATTTGTTTTTAAGAATTACCAAGAGAGTGCAGAAATGATTATTATGATTTTTTTTCTCCTTTCAGGTGATTACAGCTCAGCAACTTCCCAAACTAAATAAAGAGAAGAGTTCCTCCATTGTTGATCCTTTTGTACGAATTGAGATTCATGGAATTCCTGCAGACTGCTGCAAGAAACAAACTGAATATCGGTTAAATAATGGTGAGACAAAGCGTAGGAATAAAAACAATAAGGAGAACAGGGAAAGTAAATCTATGGGCATCCAAACTTTATTGGTTGTATTGGATCCATCCAGCATGATGGATAATCATGAATTGTGGACAGTTAGTCCACCAGCATCTAACGGACCATGATTTCCTTGTCCCTGCTATTGAACTAAAGGAGGAACAAAGCTACAGTTGGAAGAAAATCTCAGGGTTAGTTCTTAATATTTCAGTATAAAAAGAAACATGAGTAGTTAAGTCTGAAGGAGTCCTCTGGACATGTTTTTTTCATTTGACCTTTAATCAGTGAAACAACAGGACTGATATAAGAAACTGGCTTATTCTGAGTTGGCTTTTCCATACAAATGCTTTTGCCATGCTTTCTTCCTATTCTCCCTGCTCTGAAAACCTCGGTTATCTGCATGGAATGTCTTGTGCTGACCTAACATGTAAAGCACTTCTTCTACACAGAAAGACCTAAAGCTATCTCCAAATTTTCAATGAGTTGACATTATAATAGTATTGTGAGGACACACTCTCAGCAAGGAATAAGTAGAGTGAGCATCTTTGTGCTGGGATAAGAAAATTGTGTGGATCTTTCAGATTCTTCATTGATTCTTTTCCTTTCAACAGAATTAGGAGAAGGTTATTGCAGGTGAATGTTTAGCCAGGTACATGATAAGGCAACATCTTATATCCACCCAAGGTAGTATTTACATTTATTAAAATCACATCATCTGTTGAATGCAAACATTTTGTCAAAAACAAATTGCATTTGAATTTGAAAATTTGTAAATAAGACTAGATAGCGGAGAAAAAAGGTCAAACTCCAAATTTAAATTTGCTAGATTTAAAGCAATTCTTAGTATACGTTATACTGGAATTTGGCTGTAACAAGGCATCTCCATACTATTTCTCTCTTGAAGTTCTACTTCTTGGATTTTCCCTCTGCAGGATTCAATCCATGTTGGAATGAGATGTTGACGTTTCAGATACAAGTTCCAGACCTGGCACTGGTGCGCTTTGTAGTAGAAGATTATGATACAACTTCATCAAATGATTTTGTGGGACAGTTTACATTACCATTGCCCAGCATTAGGGAAGGTGAGTGTTTTTCTTCCAGAATCAAGAAAGCTTAAGTAGGGTGTTGTGCAGTCTCTAGAAGAGTCTGATGGTAATCAAGAAGTAGCAGAAATTCTATACAATTTTTGTTTAATTGGTTTTAGTTCTGAGTTAGTGGACTTTTATATCTGTTGAATAGATCCACCACCCTAAAGTACCAGCTCTGATGGGCTCTACATAGAGGTTTGCCTGTAGAACAAATTTGTGAAGTGAATTTAACCAATGGCACAAAGCAAGATGTATTAAAAACAAGGTTTCAGTATTAAATTGCTTCAGCAATTACCTTTCAGACATCTTAGGATCAGAGGCTGCAGAATTTGCAAATTGCTGCATTTGGTGTGACTCCCAGGACATCAGATTACAGGTTTATTTAGATTATCCTGTGATTTATATTACCTCAGAACTGGCTATGAACTACATGATAGCAAAAGCACTTAGATTTATATACTGCTTCACAGTGCTTTATAGCCCTCTCTAAACAGTTTACAGAGTCAGTATATTGCCCCCAACAATCTGGGTCCTCATTTTATCGACCTTGGAAGGCTGAGTCAACTGAGCGGGTGAGGATTGAATCCCTGGTAGTCAGCAGAATTAGCCTGCAATACTGCATTCTAACCACTAATAATCCATGACTTTATATAACAGAAAAGGTCATGTAGAAGAAATATATACTAGTTAGTGAGCACCACAGATCTGTTCTCAGACATCCTCCTGTAACTTTCTCTTCAGGCTACCGGCATATCCATTTGCTTTCCAGGGATGGTACATCCCTATCTCCAGCTACACTTTTTGTACACATTAGATGCAGGAAGATGTGAAAACTATAATGAAGGTCGATTTGGAAAATGTGAAAGTGGATTGAGAAGGTCCAATGAGCCCACAGAAGAATGGATGAATAGCTGTGCTAATTCTGGATGCCATCTGCTACTAAATCAAATAAGGTCGGAAGCAGAGAAGAACCAAAGTGTTGCAGCCAGAAGATCCAGACTGAGAGAAGAGCATGATGTCAATCCTTACCTGAATATGCAGGCTATTGTATTAGGGTCATAATTTAACATTCTTCATGTAGTTGAAGCCAAAAGCTACTTAACCTAAAGATTCCTAGAATGCTTTCCTAGACAGGATTTTAGTCTGACTAAATATTCCACCTTATTCTCTTCTTTATAGTGCCCTGCAAAAATACACACTGGGGGTAGATATTTTCTTGTTATTTGTTAGTCACAATAGAAGCCTAATGAAAAGATGTATTATGTTATCTTGCAAACTTGGGCTAGGTCTATTAAAATCTAAGGATTTGAGATAGGTGGACTTGTGACCAAGATTAATGAGTGAAGATGGTGCGATCTATGTAGTAAAGGCCTAAGAGAGTGAAATGTGACCCACAAACTGAACAAAGAATTTGAACTAGCCCAACTGATCTGGAATCTGATTTGAGTATATATACGTTGACAGGCCAGAATGGAGATTGAGCATGAAACTGGGTCTTTATTTGTTTAGGAAATAAACTACTTCATGTAGCATATAACTTAAGATTATTTCAAAGATCATAGTTCAAATAATGAACAGTAGTTGGGACCTTTTAAGACAGAAGATTGTTGAATTTAATTACAAGCCAAGAATAACATAGATATATGAAAATCCTGCACCCCACTTCATCTACTTAGCTTTTCCTGACACTCCAAGACTATTTTAATGAGATTTAAATACTATTCTCTTGAAGGAGCTTGACAAAATTAGTATTAACTTGCTTTTCAAAACATATGTATTTGTATGGTCTTTATTCTGGATGAAAACTAATAATTATTCTTAGGTTTATTTTGATACTTTACATAGATTGATATGGAAAATATCGGTATTCCTATACATTCTCAGACTCATTTGTGGAGAAATATACTTTTAGAAATTAGATTCGAAGCAGTGCATTATTTTCCCTTAGAACATTTTGTTAACTATAAAAAAATCACCAGAGCATTAAGGATGAAATTATTTTTGCTATATTGTTTCTCCTAGTGAATTTGAAAGAACTATATATAGCTTTAGAGCATTTAATCTTTCAGCACAAATTAAAATCAGCTGTTGACGGCTAGTAGCTGTTTTAGCTATTGCTAGTTAAACTGTCAAAGGATTTTACACTACAATCTTACATTATCCTATTCCTACTGGGAGCCATCAAGTTCATCACACTACAATCTTACATTATCCTATTCCTACTGGGAGCCATCAAGTTCATCACAGCCTCTCAATATTACTTTTTATGTGAGTGTTCTTGTGATGATGACGTGTGGGAACACACACACACAAGCTGTTTTGTGTTACTAGAGGAAAGGCAGTCTATAACAATTTAGTGAGGTTTTGTTCCAAGTGAGCAGTTATAAGAGTATAATTTTAACCGATTTTTTTTATTTTTTATAATTTATTGCAGCTTGGATTAGATGAAAGATAAATCCATTGGAAATTTATAGTATGCATCCAGCTTCACAGTAAATATTAAGATGCCATAAAAGGAAACAGTAATAACTCATTTGGTGTTTTTTCAAAGCATTTCAAGTAACGTACCTTATAAAATACTGTAGTTTATAATTTGCAATAGTTTCTTGAAAAAGTTGGCTAACTATTTATAATTTAGTAACTACCGTAAATGCCGGCGTATAAGATGACTTCCGCGAGCGCTGAAATCGGCACCAAAGATGGGGGTCGTCTTATAAGCCGAGTCATCTTATACGCTGGAAATACTGGTAGTTTCCGGCGTATAAGGCAACATTCTAGGAATGCGGCCTGGCTATAAAGACGGGGGTCGTCTTATACGCCGGGTCGCCTAATACGCCGGCATATATGGTAAACAACTTCTGAACATTTAGTAGCTGCTTTTATCATACAGCCTAGTAGTTCTTAGTTTTTGGCTGTTCAGCCTCAATACAAATAGAGTGCAAGGTATTTCCCAAGCATTCAAAAAGAAGCCAAATGAATCTGAGAACTGAGTTTGGATGACAACATACATAGAACAAGAAGGTATGTAATTATTTTAGCACTACTTATGAATATTTTCAGTGAGGCTTCAAGTAAAATTCTTTATTGATTATTCTCACCACACCCAGATTTTTAGCAAAGATATCAGACACTATCAAGAGGTCTGGCTGGTTACTGCTCCTATTTCCCGTTTGGCTCAGCAGATTCTTTGGATTTGCCCCCCTTCCAATTTTTCTAGGCAGATTTCCAAACTATGACCATTTCCTTCCCATGTTCCTTCTTACAACTAGATCTACCTCATGAAGCAGCAGCCGCTTGCTTTCTTGCAGGTTATAATTAGTACTTCTAGACAGGAGAAGGCTTGTTTACTAGAGAATTTTGGAAGTATCTTTTAAAAGCTTCTAACTTGGGATGGAAAATCTAGGTCATTAGTCCTGACATAGCAAGGAAGACATAGGCTATGGAATTAGCTCAGACCTATTGTTAGACAAGTTCAAATTTCCTTTATGAGTGTACTTTGGGCTGCTATCAGAAGCGTGAGGCTCAAATTTCCATATTTTTCTCCTATAGTATTTGTAAAAATAAATAATGGGCATATCCTTACCTTATGGAATAGAGAGAAGGAAAGATGACCAACTAATGGTAACGTCTTATCATGCAACATGCATTTCAATCTCTTGGCAACAATACAGGATGCAAAAGACAACATAGGGCAACAGGTGGGGTGTTTGAGCAGCAGCTACACATAACTTGTACTATAGAAACCTATTGTTGCAATTTTCAAAAACTAGTCTAAATTGGCCTCCCACCCAAGCAGTGAGATTGGCCTGGAGTCAAATCCCAACTTTACTGAAACATTGTGACTTTATGAAACAAAGTTCAAATGTGGACTGAGAAGCAATCCATGTTTCTTGAGATTTTTAGAGAAAGATGGGTTATAAGTGTAGAAATTAATAAAAAAGTTTTTCCTGGACATTTCTAGATTTTCCTGCAGAATAGATTGTGACCAAGTGATCAAATGGCTAATTTTCTGCAATGGATTTAAATAGTTGAAACACGAGAAAGTCTGTTATGTAATAATTCTGTATGTTCTGTGATATATAGCACTAGACAAAGTTCACTTTTGAGTTTAGCACTTTTTTGCTGGAGCCTATTTAAACTGAATGCAGTTTACAAATCCAGACCTGGCTTCTCTGTGTATAGAAACACTGACGTGTTTATTGTCCTACCCCTCTCTCTTCTCCAATGGAAAAAAGACCTCTATGAACCTAAACACCTTCTAGAATTTGATTTTGTAATATATATATGTATATATGTATCCTTAATGGTTATAAAAATATATGTATGTGTGTGTGTATGTATGTGTGTGTGTGTGTGTGTGTGTATATGACTGTTGTTTGTAATGTATTTAATAAGTAAAATAACATTTTATTTTAGCAAAAGATGTAGTCAGAGAAATTTAATCAGAGTCAAGTTTCATGGAACACCCAAACAAAAAAAAGGGTAAAGCTGTTATTGCTGTGAGGAATTCTGAGGGATCAGTTCCTTTAATGTGTGAAATTTGGGCAATATTGATTGGGATTAATTTGTATTTGTTATATTCTTCTGGCTTGTATAAACAAACTTAGCCACAAGGTTTTTGTTTTGTTTTTGGAAAGCAGGTAAGATCATAAATACAGATTTCCCCCTAAAATCCAGATTTCCTTAGGTTGTGTACAAATAAAAGCTTTTCTCCCATTTGTCAAAACATGTTTGAAAAATGCTAAGTACTTTGTAATGCAAGTATAGCTGAAATATATTTAGGGAGAAAGCCACTCACATTTTAATGTGCAAATGTGTAAGTCAAAACTCATTTACTCAAATTGTCTGAAAACTTTATACCAAGGCAACAACAGCACTTTGACCAAGGTGTATAGCTGAAGCCTGTTATTTTTTTCTTACAGAAATTGAGAAGCAAACCTAAATCTTAATAATTTTATAGCTATTTATTAATAAGAGAGATGATTTATCAATCTGAAATGGTTATGGCGTTTTATCACAAGCAACTACACACGTCACTTAAGATTCTATACCTAGATAGTAAGGAAAAAGTCAAGCATTAAATTAGAAGTTTGCTCAAACGCAATTATCCTTGTTCTTGCAGGCTAACCCATCAATTAAATTATATAACCCTACCAATCTATACTTTAGGAAAACCTGCTTCCTTATATAAAACCATTCAAATTTTATTGTTTTGTTTCTCAGATAAACAGCATAATTTCGAAGGCAACTTTCTTACCATGTCACAGGATTAAGAATTATCCATTCTCAAAAGTCTCCCTACTCTTTACATGTCACTTTTAATTGCAAGTTATGAGAGGCAGGAGAATCAGCCCATATTATGTAAATAGCAATTTATGAGAATGTCATTCTCCTAATCACTGCATATGAAATTATTGAATCACTCAATTATTTATTAGAGGCTGGATGGAAGAAGGTCTAAAATACAGGGTCTGAAAAAGTGAATAGTAACTTTCAGGCATGTGGGTAGAATGATGCTACGAAGTAATGATTTGCTGTTTTGTCCAATGGTTTGACAATGGATTCATGTCAGTCATGCTTGAGCATATTGGAGAGATCTTGAGTGCATCCTATCCATACAAGAACTTATACAGTGAGATTGTACTTGCACTAATGTTCAGCTAGCACATTATTTCTGGTCCTGTATTTATGCCCTACCCCTGCCCTATCCTAACAACTATTATATTGCTATACGTTGCTTTTATTTTTAGGATACAAGCTAGCTAAAATTTTTAATTAATATTTATGCATTAAATATGCTATTTTTAAAGATGGGATGCTATAGCTGGATCTTTGATGAATATTAAGTTCTCAAGTTCTTCCTCATGAAGCATAGAAGGGACAAAAAGGGTTGTTATGCGTTTCTCACATTCAGCAAATGTGGATCAAAACATGCACAAGAGACCTGGGACGCCAAAGTTATCATTGACATGGTTCACATCCAGAACTGTAACAGAAATGAAAATAAAACTACAATAACCAAACAAAATGCTAGAGTTTGGTCTTCCAAAGTGTGTACAGAATCTGGATTCAGCAGCACTTCTGCAATATAAGTGGATATTAGAATGAAGCTCTCAAAGCCTAGAGAAGAATTTCATTTTTTTCATTCAAATGAAAGCAAAAGCATTGTTTTCTATGTTTCCCACATCATATATGGGAATAATTAAATCCCAAAAAAGTTATCAGTGAATTTTCCATAATATATAAAAGGCAACTTGGACACTTAGGAAAGGCAGAAAGATCATACTGAAGTTTTGCCATTTGTACTGTCACTGTGAAAATTAAACTAACTATGCAAATAGAAGGATTTTTTTAAACGTGTAGATCTCTTTCACTAATTGAAAGGAATGACACAAAAAATGTGCAGGTTTTTGGAGAAAATATAATATTTTTCCACAAGATTTGTTTTAAATTTCCAAAATGCCTTTCTTTCTCCAAAGCAGAGGGCAGTGTCTTGAATTAGACATTCTGTGCTATATTGTTTATTACACTTTATCTGCTAACCATCACATACAGTATTTTTCTGTCTATAAGACGCACCCTTGTATAAGACACACTGGCAGGTGAATTTCTCCGTGCAAATCCGGAAGTTCGGCCAGCCGACAATCTTGCCCCCTTCCCCTCCCATTAGTGGCAAGCCCACAGGGGCTTGATACTTGCACCAGGCAGCATGGCAACCCACACAGGCATGCCCTGGGCTGCAGAGGTTACCATTATTTTTCCGTGTATAAGACACATCTGATTTTTGAACAGGGTGTTTGCAGGAAAAAATAGCATCTTATACACGGAAAAATACGGTAGATGATGTTTTTTAAAAGTCATATAGCTAGATGGGGCTCCTTTATCATTGTATTTTCCCTGAAATACTGTAAAAAAAATCTATAATTACAGGCATTTCATTATGCCAATAAACTAATCTCTGCAAGATAAAATAACCTTGATTTACACAGCATAATCAAAGCTTTTCACTGAAAAAATGAGAAGAAATTAACCTTCGTAGTCACATACTAATCATCTTTTGGAAGATTTTTTTTAGTTTTTGTTGTCATACTGTATTGTGACATGATAGTTCGAAATAATGCACTGGAAAGAAGGCCCTTCAGATGTTATTGAACTATAAATCTCAGCACTCCTCATCATGGATCCTGCTGCCTGGACTGCTGGGAACTGTACTGCAGTATACAAACGTCTAGACCAACTATATCCAAAAGCCGGTTTTGACAAAGAAGTATATCTTCCTAAGCATGCTTGCTTCTAAATTCACTCCTATCAGTCAAATTTTGAATTAAGTTTTAACTGGGCAGATAAATTAAGCCCCTTCCCCAAGATGGAATAATTAATAATTGTGTTACTAATTAGCTGCAGTGATTCACTTAACAACTGTGGCATGAAAGGTCATAAAATAGGATAAAACTCACTTAACAATTGTCTTGCTAGGCAGTGGAAATTTTGGACTCTATTGTGGTCGTAAGTTGAGAACTACCTATATAGCCTTACTAATATTTAGCCCACCCACAAAATTCTTACATCCTATAAAATATATTGAACACATTTTGATTATACATTGCCATTTTCATTCTAGCTTGTCTGGTATTTTCTGTTCTAAGTTTTATGTGAACACTAGCAAAATTTCCAGCAGAGCTTCTGATTTTATCAGCCAATTTTCATTGGAGGAAACAGGCATAAACAGTTCTTTTCAAAGCTAGACAATATGAGTTGATTACAAGAAGAGAATTAAGTTTAGAATAGTTGATATGTTAGGTACTATTGCTAGAAAACAAATGGAGATCAGAATTGACAAGAGAACAGCTACAATTCATGCTATTAAATCCCCCCCCCCATTACAATTTGGAAGAAACTGGAGAATTTCCCCAACAGAACCAAGTATGGATTCCATAAACCAAAAGCCACAAATTGTACGTTTGGTTATTCAAACGTTATACTATAGTTTTATTAGTGCACATCCAGGGAACAATAGCTTGGATTCCACCATGAAGTAAAGATCATCCACCATTAAAATAGCCCTTTGGTTTTTAAAAGAAAGTTGTCTTAACCAGGGATTGGAATTAAAAAGGCCATAGCGCTATGTAAAAATTGAAAACGGCTTTAAAACTTCCATTAACTAGGCCAATTATGTACTGTAGCTCAGAATCATTTTTGCATCACAAAGAGAAGAGGGAATGCACTGTACTCTTCTGACGGAAATCCAAAGAGCCAAATTGTTGGTCTTTTTTTTTTTTTTGCAAAAATCATCATAATAAGCCATCAGGCAATTAATATTTCTTTGAACAATTCTAAGATTAAAAAGCTATGCTGCCTGATGGTAACACCCCATTTTCCACTTCAGATGAACAGCAATCATTGTTAAAATATAGAATATATAATATAATTTTTATTATTCACCCGTTAACTCCAATATATGCCAATTGTAAAATCATGAGCTAGTTCTCAACAGTTACATTCCCTTGATCATGTTGTATGAGGGGCAGGGGAAAGACCATGAGCTGGCAGAAATACACTGGTGTGCTCCATGGCACATGATACAATCATCAGAAATGTCAGGTCACATTGCCAATGCAGTGGGCACCAGCTCCTCCCCAGGATTCTGTCACTTCCATGGAACTCTGAACCATGAGGACGGCAGTTCCATGTTGGCAATTGGCCCCACCTTCAGTTTCCGCCTGCCCTTCTTCGGAGAAAATTGATTATTGCAGCACCAAGCCAACCTATGGAAAATGTTCAAGATATAAAGGAAGGGTTAACAAGTATTTCCGTTCTTTGGACTCAGCAGGTCTATGCATTACTCACCTGACTAGTGAGTCCCACCCTGCTCTATACTCAAGCAGATTGTCTTTTGAGTACTGAAAAGGCTGGCCTTTAATATTTTTTCAGATTTTACTTATGCATAATAGCTAAAAACTGAGGGAAGATTATTTTTTTTCCCAGATTTACTCCAAAGAAAGTCTGAATTTGAGACCCCTTCACAAAGATCAGAAGTAAAAACCAATAAATAAACAGGCAGATATCCTGCTTATTCTGCAAATTAAGGCATCCCAAGCTTCACTAAAATCATTGCTAAACATTTTCCTTCCAGCAAATGTGTTCATGTGAAAACCAAACTTTCACGTATGTATCTCAGCATTATTCAATAATCTACAGTGAGGAAAAAAATTATTTGATCTCCTGCTGATTTTGTACGTTTGCCCACTGACAAAGAAATGATCAGTCTCTGATTAGGTATACTACCAGAAAAGTTTGATAAGCAAAGTGTATATTTAACATTGCATGTACTAACAGCAGCGAGGATTGTATTTGCTCAGCATTGGAAGAATGAAGAAACACCACTAGATGTAATCAAGAAGATATTGGACTGTGCTGAAATGGACAGACTTACATTGGAGATCAAAGAGAAAGAAGATACAGAATATTTTCAAACATGGAATTTATTTTATAATGGTTGGAAAAAAAGGGGTAGAGACTAACAACGTAACTTGTATTATTAAGCAAACAAATTAACTCAGATAACATGATGCTTATTAAGCATTAATCAAATGTAATAATAGAAAATTAATAAAAAAATGGGAAAAAAAGAAATGATCAGTCTATAATTTTAATGGTAGGTTTATTTTAACAGTGAGAGACAGAATTACAACAAAAACATTCCCAAAAAAGAGTTGTATTTTAGTGAGTGAAATAAATATTTGATCTCCTATCAGCAAGATTTCTGGCTCCTAGGTGTCTTTTATATAGGTAACAAGCGAAGATTAGGAGCACTCTCTTAAAGGGAGTGCTTTTAATCTCAGCTTGTTACTTGTATAAAAGACACCTGTCCACAGAAGCAATCAATCAATCAGATTCCAAACTCTCCACCATGGCCAAGACCAAAGAGCTGCCCAAGGATGTCAGGGACAAGATTGTAGACCTACAAAAGGCTGGAATGGGCTACAAGACTATCGCCATGTAACTTGGTGAGAAGGTGACAACAATTGGTGTAATTATTCGCAAATGGAAGAAACACAAAATAACTGTCAATTTCTCTTGGTCTGAGGCTCCATGCCTCACCTCGTGGAGTTTCAACGATCATGAGAAAGGTGAAGAATCAGCCCAGAACTACACAGAGGATCTTGTCAATGATCTCAGGGCAGCTGGGATCGTAGTCACCAAGAAAACAATTGGTAACACACTACGCCATGCAGAATTGAAATCCTGCAGTGCCTGCAAGGTCCCCCTGCTCAAGAAAGCACATGTACAGGCCTGTCTGAAGTTTACCAATGAACATCTGAATGATTCAGAGGAGAACTGGGTGAAAGTCTTGTAGTCAGATGAGATCAAAACCAAGCTCTTTGGCATCAATTCAACTTGCCGTGTTTGGAGGAGGAGGAATGCTGACCCCAAGAACACCATCCCCACCGTCAAACATGGAGGTGGAAACATTATGCTTTGGAGGTGTTTTTCTGCTAAGGGGACAGGACAACTTATCAAAGGGACGATGGACAGGGCTATGTACCATCAAATCCTGGGTGAGAACTTCCTTCCCTCAGCCAGGGCATTGAAAATGGATCATGGATGGGTATTCCAGCCTGACAATGACCAAAACACATAGCCAAGGCCACAAAGGAGTGGCTCAAGAAGAAGCACATTAAGGTCCTGGAGTTGCCTAGCCAGTCTCCAGATCTTAACTTCATAGAAAATCCATGGAGGGAGCTGAAGATTCGAGCTGCCAAACATCAGCCTCAAAACCTTAATGACTTGGAGTGGATCTGCAAAGAGGAGTG